AAGCTTTCTCTCCTGTAACTGGATTTCAGCGAAATCTTCAACGATTTTTCGGCGAAAAAATCTCGGCAGGTTCCGTTCTTTAACGCTAAAATTTAATTTTAGATAATTCTTGTTGCCCTTTATAATTATATGTTCATTAAATAATAAAAGAATCTACACCTTTTTTGTTTCACAATAAATTATTTATTGGAAAACTCGAATAAAAAAATTGTTCATTTTATTTGGAAAATAATTTGGGTTCAGGGGCCTCCACTCCTTTGTTGCCCCGAGGCCTCCAGACCTCTAAATCCGGCTCTGCTCTCATTCAAGTTGCACATGGCAGAAAGAGCAAATTGCCTTTGTTTTCCAACCGATCACTTAGGGCTTAGGGGGAGAATGTAATTTTTTTGATGTTTTTGTATTTTTTTTTGTGTCCTTAACGTAGGACAAAATTGTCCTGTGTTGTTAGGATTTTTTACATAGATGTGGACTAACACCCAGATCCGAAACAACTATGTGGATCCCACAATTAGTTGCCCCGTTGAGAATCGGACCCATAACCCCCGGTGCCGAAGCCGATGCTTTGGGAACTGGGCCGTGGAAACATCAAATATTTAGTATTCACGTTTTATATTAATAGAAACCGTTTCAAGTCATTCTATATCGCTTTTTTGTCACGCAACCGACACCACACCGTATATAAGGAACGCTGAATTGGATCACGACCTTAAAATCAGTACTCTGTCCATCTCCTTAAAATATATTTTTATAAGACGTCATAAAGAAATAAATTGTCATTCAAATCCGTTGAGAAAAGCTCGGTATCTGTCTCTGTCTGTCTCTATAAGATACACCCCTATATCAGGTCGCTTTTGAGTCGTCGTGTTGCTATAATTATTTAAAAGCGAGTCTGCATACTTCTTCATGTTACGTTATTAATTAAACTTTAACTTTCGAAGATTGATGGTTTTTATGTATAAGGTATTTTCATAAATCTTGTATTTCGTGTTATAATAATGATTTCCTAATTTAATTTTCGTAAGCAATCTTTTACCGTACGTAAGTCACGTTATAAATGGCAGTTTCAACCTTATTACTTCAATCTTATTACTTACGGTTTAAACTTCGTACTTCGTATCCTTGACTTGTATTATGCCCAAAGATTAATAGATGAACTTTCTATCTTTCGTTAACAGGTGAAGATGCAGTGAATTTTGTGGCGTTATCATTTATCGTGGTCTTGCACAGCGTCTCCTTATACACGGTAATTACCGTAGATGCACCGTAATCAGATTTTTAACTACCGTCAAGTTATTAACGCATTACCGTGTCATATATCACCGTATTACTATTATACATCACATAATTAAAAATATTTCATCATGTACTGTGAAAAACGAATCTCAGTCATTCAACCGAGAGCCGGAGCCGAGAATACCAGGGGAATCATCAATATCTAAATTCCCATCCCCCTTCACGCAAACTATTCTCGACCTTATTTTAATTCACGTAGGAGTGAAAAAGTTTGATGGATGACATGGATGATGAAAATTTACTACGTTGTCTTTTGTTCTAGTTACGACGCGTTAAAAATGTTGATTGGTAATCTCAGATTATACATACTCTTTTGATGTCAACTGTGACCTGTTTGATTTATGTATTGTGTTTGAATTACTTTAATTTAGGAATGTTAGCTTTATTTGTTCAGACTGAATTGTCATATTTGATTTATTCCGTAAAAATCGTTTGAAGATGTAACATGTATAGCTATCTGACATAACTCCTGTATTTTATATAAATTCCATAATGATTACGTTTAGTCCAAAAATAAGTTCAAAATGTTTAAGTTGAAATAAACAGTTTTCCTATCAGTCCTTAAGTGTCTTTTTGGTTTACGAGCGATCCCATGAGCCACATCCACCATTCAAGAAAAAATTCGTAGTAAAAATTTAAATCTAAGAACTGTTTCAATTTCAAGCTTTTCAAGATTTTGCGATTTTAATACTTTTAGTGAGTGAGTTGGGTTCAATGTTTCATTGGTAATTTAAATTTTCTTCGCTAATAATTAAAAATCAAATTTAATCAAGAGTTTAATTGTAAATTTTAAAGTTTTTTTTATAGTGCTAATCTCTGCACTTAAGATTGAACATTGAAACTTGTAGAAAAAGTACGAAAAGATTGTCGCCGCTGTGGGAATCGAACCCACGTCTTCGGCATTCGCGGACTGACGCTCTAGCCACTGAGCTAAACGGCTGATAGCCACAGCGACGAAAATCTTAACGCCTTCTTTCTACATTGTTATTTAGCATTTGAAGCAATGCTTGGCGCATCTATTGTTATATCCTTTCCAGCATACAAACAATTTCGAATATCGTTTTACAACGATAATTCGAACGAGAGATGTCGCCATTGCTTTTTATAAATTTTAAAGTTTTTTTTATAGTGCTAATCTCTGCACTTAAGATTGAACGACGCGGCGACAATCTTTTCGTACTTTTTCTACATGTTTTAATGTTCAATCTTAAGTGCAGAGATTAGCATATATATCAATTTTAATTTCTTTTATTAATCTAAATTTCTAGGTATGTTATTTATTAAAACTTTAATTGAAGAAAAAAACATACAGTTTATTAAGTAAGATAAATAGTTTCTTTAGCTCTGAATGGAATCAAAAAATAACTAAAAAACGTAAAAAACAAAGAATTGTTTAAATGAAGTTAATAATTGGTCAAAAAAACCCGCAGAGACTTGTCCTAAAAGACAGATCAATAGAATTTAGTAATAGTTGTTTGATTGACATGAAAATGCTAAATGACAATTTAAAGACGTGATGTAAGTGGTTAAATGATAATAATTTTTATGACGTCAAATATTTTTTTAATGAAAACTAGATATAATATTATGTGACATTTAATTATTGAGAATTTGATTATAATTAAATTTTTGTTAACTTTATTTACATATTAAATTAAAGTAACTTTAGTTGATGCCATTAATATTTTGCATGCTATTTATAAATGAGCATAACATGTAGTTCAATATTAATGATTTGTAACACCTCTATACCATGTTGTACCTAAGATATGGATAGTATAAAGTACGAAGCATCAAATTGTACTATAAATACCATAATTAAAGTACAAAATGCAACTCTGCATCCGCGACAATACTAGTATAGACCACAGTTTTTTTTCCGTTCATTTTTATCTTCTACGGCTTTGAATAAAAATCTCGTTTTTGATACGATTTCGATATTCAAATTTTTATATCGATATATCGGATCAATATATATCGGTCAAAAATATCGATATATTTTTTAAAAAATATCGATATATCGATATTTTTCCCTAGCCCTTAGAGATGGGTCGTATCGCTTTTTCTGAGTACCGTATCTGAATCCGATTTCGATTTCAAATATCAGATTTCGAAACTATGTATTTTAATATCTAGATATTTATTTTACGGTCCCGTATCCACCTTGAATTCTAAAAAAAAAAAATGTTTTCAATAATTATGTAGATTCCTCCGGGTTTAAATTTATTTATTATTTTTATATGTTTCGAATTTATTTACTCCTAAATAAATTCGAAAACCCACTAAAATTTAATAAATTCAAAAAACTTACTGAATTTAAAATCACGATTTTTTTTTACTATTAAGGTAAAATTAAAACATTACCTGATTAAATTAAAAATTTCATAAAAAATACAAATTGAAGTAATATAAAAATGATTTATTTTAACATCTTATATATCGCTTAATAATTGACTTAAACATATTTTTAGAACACGCAATCATGAGTGACAATATTTTTATAATTTGTGTAAGAAATAATACATTTAGTATAACTTAGGGCTGAAGAATTTAAAATATACACACTTTATGTGCTTTATAAGCCTTGGTCTGATTTCCACCCAAGCAGCACAGCACTATTAAATTATATTTTTCTTTTTGTGTACTTTTATTTTTTTCCAAAAATATAAATAAAATTCAACTAATAAAAATATTCACAAAAAATTTACCTCCTAAAAAATTTCCATTGTATATTTTTCTTCCTTAATTTAGGCAGAAAATTCTTAAGTAGTAAGCTGGCATCCCTTACTATTACGTGCTAGGTACCAATGCAATCCAGCTCAAGGCTAAACAAAATTTAAAGACATCGTTAATACCGTAATTCGTATCTAAATGCAACAAAGTTTTTTTTCCATGCTGTTCAAAAGATTCAGATTCAAAATTACTTAACTGCGCGCTTTGTCGCCCGTTACGGCTCAAGGCTAAACAAAACAATAAAAATATAATATCGTTGTAGTAATCGTTGATACCATGATTAGTATTTAATTGAAACGTATCTTATTTGTATGGCGTTAAGATTCAAAATTACTTAACTTATTCATAATATCTGTTTAAAAATCTGATATTGTGCCTTGCTTGCCGTACTGCTCTAACTAGTGTAATATTTGTATCTCACGCGCTTTGTCACTCAAAATCTGATATCGTGCATTGCTTGCCGTCCCGCTCTAACTAGTGAGTATTTATATCTCACGCGCTTTGTCTCTCGAAATCTGTTTAAAAATCTGATATCGTGCATTGCTTGCCGTCCCGCTCTAACTAGTGAGTATTTGTATCTCACGCGCTTTGTCTCTTGAAATCTGTTTAAAAATCAGATATTGTGGCAAACGCGGTATGATATCGCGATTCGTGTCGGTATAGCGAGCGAGCACGGTACATCAGATTTTGGAAATATCAGATATTGTAAAATACATAGATATTGAACGAGCCAGTAAGCGATATTCGGATATTGTACTAATATCTAGTTTTCATATCTGATACGATTTGTATCGCCCACTTCTACTAGCCCTACATAACGTCAGTCAGTCGTAGTAGGTTTAATTACAATTACATATTTATAATATTTTCACTGCGATCTTTTTACTCGAAGATCTGTTTTTTTCCTAATATTTAAGACCTAAATAAAAAGTGATATATGCGATTGTACTGTGATTATTTAAATTAACATTAAAATGGCTACTACAAACAATTTTGTCCCGAGTGCACCCGTCGGTGCACCTCCTGGAGCAAACGATCTTCCACCACCATATTCAGCGGTTGTTGGTAATCCACAATATGGTTTTGTGGCTCCATCAGTTGAGTCCATGCCTCCAGGTGGTCCTTATCCACAACCAAAACAATTTACTGCCACTGGCGTATATCCTCATCCGCCAATCGTTACTTGCGCTCAACCCCAGTCTGGAGTAATGGATCCTACTTCTTCTGGTGTCACTGTTCCTGTCGGTATAGTGTTACCTCCCGCAGTTGGAACCGAACCAACAACAATAACATGCTTCAACTGTGGTAAAGTTGTTACTACAAGAGTGACATATACAACAGCTTGGCATACTCACTTGGTAGCTGGTTCTATCTGCGTTATAACAATGTAAGTATTAAGACAAAGTTCACTATAAATGCCCTTATTTTTATCTTATTCTAGTATTATCACAATTTATATTGAATGTAGGTCAGTCTGTTCTGAGAGACACTGCAGTGTCAATTACTTTTCCTTGTTCCTGTTGTTATAAAGTTGCACTCATCATTGTTTTTTGTTGTGCGAACATAGACATTATATGTATTAAGTGCTTTTATATAGATATAGCTTGATTTTGCTCTGACCCAGAAGAAATATTACTGAAACTCTATATAAGGGGGAAAATACTTTAGACTGTTAGGTCAGCACTTGTCTTGGTTATACAACCAGTTTCAGGAAACTTTTTAATTTATATGTTTGGGAAAACAAAATAAAAATATAAATATGTTAAATATAATTCATATATTAAGTTTTTAATTTTACAGGGTATGTTCGCTGTGCTGTCTGGGATTAATACCATACTGCTTTGACAGCTTTAAAGATGCTGAACACTATTGTCCTAACTGCAACACCTTTATTGGAAAAGCAACCAAATACTGAACTGTTTCCCATGATTATATTATCCATAATACATACAAGTTGCTGGCAATATATTGTAATGGCTTAAAAAAACAAATTTTTGAAATGAAAATTGATATAAATGTATGATTTATGTTAACTTAGAAAGCGTATTTTACTATTTTATGCTTATATATTGTTGTGGTGCTACTTTATTTGCTATTTCAAGGTAATTAAATAAACACCCTTCAGTATAGTCTTCTGTATAGAGTTAAATGTAAGCAGCTCAACAACAGTTGTCTATTGCAAATAACAATAATAAACAAACATCTACATCTTGCCCGGTATTTCACATAATTTATTATAAAGAACACTAAACTCAAAGTAGTTATAGCAGTGTTAATATTATTTATACTTTTCACTTCTTTTACATTTTTGTATGTATACATTTGTAAATTAATAATATGAATTAAGGCAGTTGATGGATAGTATGATTTATGGCAGCAGTGATGGTATTTCACATAATAAGAAGTATTTCTGCTAATTCTAAGGGAACACCAATAATGACTATCTTAAAATAATAAATTTCATAAATTGCAGTTATAAATCATAACAACACCAAATTGTTGGCACTTAAGTATGTTACTAATTACAAAATTATTTAGCAATTATTAAAATATTTCCAAATTTCGCCATCATAATATAATTAAAATATTGAATAATTTTGAGCACATAAGGTGTGATGGCTTTTCCAGTATTGTAAACAATGCAAAATTTAATTACATGTGCACTGTTTATTAAAAATTACCTTGTTTTAATCCTTTCAGAAAATTTTTTGGTTCAATTTTTAAAATCTCCATGTATAAATGGTATGATAAAGACTGGCAATTTTTATGTTCATAGAGCTCTTAAATATTAGTTATATTTTTGTTTTACACATATGCCATACCTTTGAGACTAATAGACAAGGTCCCACTTTGATACATATTTAAAAACTTGAACATTTCCAAATGAACTTTAGTGATCTACAATGGTCTTGCTTATTATTTTTCATGTAAATTATTTCATGACAGTATGTTAAATATGTATAAAAAATTTATAGTGTTATTTTAATTACGACTATTTATGAAAAAGACATGTATATTTGCCAATATTTCAGTAGAATATATAGGAAATAAGGTATTTTTAGAATAAAAGAAGTAAATCAGATACAAAAAGGTGTAATTCAAAACCAGTAGGCCATAAATATGAGTGATATTATTTTATGTAAAATAGTTTACATTAACAAAAACAGCTATGTTTTGCAGCAAGCTCACCAGTAGTACCTCCATTTTTAAGTTTTATCTTCTATTTTAATAAATTCCTACCAACTTGTTTAAACTATGCTTTAATGGTTTTATATATAATAGATTATGTAAACACCTTTTTTTAAAGATTTGTTGTTCATTTATTTGTCACTGTGAATACTTTTTTTTTTAAATGTGTCCATTCTATTGAATTTGTAAACTTTACTATATTATGCTGTTTTGTGCAAAAACAATGTTTCGTATTTGATGATGTAGTTGATTAAATGTTGCACTTAAATATAAAATCATGTACTTTTATCAAATTAAAAATACATGCATGGAACACAATTTTTATACAGTTTTTTTTAAATAAATTGTATTACTTAATTTTGCTTTGTTTATTTATCTACTAAGCAAAAACCCAATATAAATTAAGTATTGAACATACATCACTCATATCTCATGTTTTATCTTTGCATGATAAGATAGATAAACATTAAACTTGATAAGAGTGCCCAGTTTCGACTCGTGAGTGTTTGTTAAACCAATAGTTTTTGCAAGTGAAATTAAACCAATTGACATGAGTAATAGTGTGGCAAATACAAATAGGGTTGAAATTCAGCTTCCCTCAATAATGTCAATTCAACATGGCGAACTACCTCCACCTTATTCACCCTCAGTGGAAAATAATGGCCAAACTATAATCCATCAAACAATTGTTGTACAATCTAAATTAAAAGGTGAACCCACACTATACAACTGTCCTACCTGCAAAGAAATGGTACTGACAAAAGTGAAATATGAAAATTCGAGCAAAACTCACATGATTGCTGGCTTTATTTGTGGCTTTACTTTGTAAGTACAAATATGTTAGAAATAAGGTTGCATATTAAGTGCAAGTATTAAATGTTTGATATGTTCATTTTCAGCTGGTGCATGCTCTGCTGTCTAGCTGCAATACCTTATATGCTACCAACATTTAAAAAGACTGAACATTATTGCTCAAACTGTGATACATTCCTTGGCTCATATTCTAAATTATGATGCAATAACAAGTTAACATAATAATTAAGATTAACTAACATAATAGAGTAAGGAAATAAAGCGTTTAAAGTATTGTTTACATTATTTTAATACAACCTTATTGTTAAAATATAATTAGGGATTCTTAATAGAATTCAATTATATGGCACTTGTAACCTAAAGCAATCTGAAGCAATTTTCCATTTTCCTTCCACAGCCACAATCAGAAAAGTCTGTTGAAAAGGCTTTTTGATATTATCATTTTGATACGTAACATCTCCACATGCTTGAATAAGATATGTTAATTTGTTTGAAACCAAATTCTCAGATATAGGTTGGGCATCCAAAGTTTTTAGAACGTGGTTACTTCCAGGCAAGTCCATGAGAAATTTCTGAATTTTATCACATCCATTTATTCCGTTCCCGTTCCAGACTAATAATCCTGTGTCAAGGTAAAGTTTCGAAGTTAGGTGCCGGCTGTTGTCTATTTGTTTATAGAAAACCCTGGTAAACTCTTCAGCTGTTTCACAAGCATTATCAACATTTTTTAAAACTAGCTCTGCTGACATTTTCACAATATCCTTTTTTTTCTTGGTTTACTGTTTAGCAGTTTTCAGTATGACTATGTACTTGTAGTACCATAGATAAGACATATATACTGAAACTAATGTAGTAATAAACAACAGGTAAACACGATGTTTATGCAAAGAAGTGAAGAATAGAAGTGGGCGATACAAATCGTATCAGATATGAAAACTAGATATTAGTACAATATCCCAATATCGCTTACTGGCTCGTTCAATATCTATGTATTTTACAATATCTGATATTTCCGAAATCTGATGTACCGTGCTCGCTCGGTATACCGACACGAATCGCGATACGGCGATATCATACGCGTTTGCCACAATATCTGATTTTTAAACAGATTTCGAGAGACAAAGCGCGTGAGATACAAATACTCACTAGTTAGAGCGGGACGGCAAGCAATGCACGATATCAGATATCGAGCGACAAAGCGCGTGAGATATAAATACTTACTAGTTAGAGTGGGACGGTAAGCAATGCACGATATCAGATATCGAGCGACAAAGCGCGTGAGATATAAATACTTACTAGTTAGAGTGGGACGGCAAGCAATGCACGATATCAGATATCGAGCGACAAAGCGCGTGAGATATAAACACTTACTAGTTAGAGTGGGACGGCAAGCAATGCACGATATCAGATATCGAGCGACAAAGCGCGTGAGATATAAATACTTACTAGTTAGAGTGGGACGGCAAGCAATGCACGATATCAGATATCGAGCGACAAAGCGCGTGAGATATAAACACTTACTAGTTAGAGTGGGACGGCAAGCAATGCACGATATCAGATATCGAGCGACAAAGCGCGTGAGATATAAACACTTACTAGTTAGAGTGGGACGGCAAGCAATGCACGATATCAGATATCGAGCGACAAAGCGCGTGAGATATAAATACTTACTAGTTAGAGTGGGACGGCAAGCAATGCACGATATCAGATATCGAGCGACAAAGCGCGTGAGATATAAATACTTACTAGTTAGAGTGGGACGGCAAGCAATGCACGATATCAGATATCGAGCGATAAAAGCGCGTGAGATAAAAACACTTACTAGTTAGAGTGGGACGGCAACCAATGCACGATATCAGATTTTTAAACAGATATTATGAATAAGTTAAGTAATTTTGAATCTTAACACCATGCAAATAAGATCCGTTTCATTTAAATACTAATCTTGGTATCAGCGATTACTACAACGATATTATTATATTTTTATTGTTTTGTTTAGCCTTGAGCCGTAACGGGCGACAAAGCGCGCAGTTAAGTAATTTTGAATCTTAACAGCATGGAAAAAAACTCTGTTGCATTTAAATACGAATTACGGTTATTAACGATGTCTTTGAAATTTTGTTCAGCCTTGAGCTGGATTGCATTGGTACTTAACACGTAATAGTAAGGGATGCCAACTTACTACTTAAGAATTTTCTGCCTAAATTAAGGAAGAAAAATATACAATGGAAATTGTTTAGAGGTAAATTTTTTGTGAATATTTTTATTAGCTAAATTTTATTCATATTTTTGGAAAAAAAAATAAAAGTACACAAAAAGAAAAATATAATTTAATAGTGCTGTGCTGCTTTGGTGGAAATCAGACCAAGGCTTATGTGCCTTGTGTGTATATTTTAAATTCTTCCGCCCTAAGCTATAATACTGAATGTATTATTTCTTACACAAATAATAAAAATATTGCCACTCGATTGCGTGTTCTAAAAATATGTTAAAGTCAATTATTAAGCGGTATATAAGATGTTAAAATAAATCATTTTTATATTACTTCAATTTATATTTTTAATGAAATATTTAATTGAATTATCGAACAAGACTTTCGACGAATAAAGTCAGAGAGCTTACGTTCCTAAACGTGAATTTGAACCCGGAGGGATATAAATAATTATTAACCCTGACATAATTGTAAATATATAATGTTAAGTTTTAAATATAAGGAAAATTATGTACATAGAATGAATCAACTTTTAAATACGCCTGCACAATTTTATATTTATAATAAGTATGAAATATTGCAGCCAGTCCTAAGCCTGGAAAAAGTATGAAGGGAAGTTATTTCACTCATCTTATATCCACTCCCTTAAAGTACACAATTTTGTTTTTTTTTTTTTTTTTTAGAATTCAATGCAAACGTGGATAGGGAACCGTAAAATATCTAGATATTAAAATACATAGTTTCGAAATCTGATATTTGAAATCGATATCGGATTCAGATACGGTACTCAGAAAAAGCGATACGACCCATCCCTAGTGAAGAAGTTGTGAAAGCTAGGCATGGGCAGAAAATATCGATATAAAAAATATCGATACTTTTCCAAATAAATATCGATATATATCGTCGATATTTTTATTATCGATATTCGATATTTATTTTCGACTATCGAATTTGTATCAATTTCGATATATTTTTAGGCGCAACTCTGATTTGGTGTTTAGTGTTACTAGATGCGTGCACGATAATATATATTTTTTATAATAAAGATTATATGGCCTTGTAATAAGACCCTGATGATAACAAACAATTAACAATTTTCAGATCTTTTTTTTTAACAAATCAAAAAAAGTTACAAAAAAAAGAAAAATTGCAAATGTAGAAATTTAAAAACTCTATGTACAATTTTTTATATATTTCCTTTTAAAATCTAGTCGTAGGTGCGGTCACCTACAGACCCACGCCGCTAGGTGCATTCTGTCGCAATCACCGTAGACCGCGACACGTTCTCGACTTCCCTGACAATGAGACGACTATCACCATCGAAAGGGCAAAAAAGTTACGGAAACACACAAAAACACACATATGTTTGCGGCACTCGCCAGCGAGTGCGGCAAACATATACTAGGTTCCGCCACCTACCAGGCAGGTTCTCCCCAGTTAATGATAGAAGCGTTTCTGGAGTTTTTTCCGCCACTTCTCCCAGCGCCAACGTTTTAAGAAGTGGTAGTAACCTTAGATCTAGAAATTCTCCCAGCCAGACAACAGCTACCGATGGAGCCGAGGTCCGGCCCTCTCGGGCACCCTCGAATCGGAATACTAAACGCGTATTGAGTGACAGCTCAAGCCAAGTCCACTCTCGGGGACTCTTGAGCCTAGTCAATCCATGGAGCGTCCACCAAAGCGCCCTAAGAGCTTGGCGGCTTCCCAAACCGGTGATAATAATAGCGTGACGGCCCAAGCCGAGGCTCCCTCGAGCTTAGTCACCATAACGAATAATAATAATACGCCGAGGTTCAGGTTAGGCGACCCGAACGCCCGGCCACCTCAAATCCGGCGGAACTGTAAAGGCCCCTAGGGCCAACAGTGGCTCATCCTGCCAAAAAAAGGCATCCCAGAGAAATCGAAGACAATCCTCAAATGTTATAAATGTATTAACAATGTTTTTTAATTTCCGGTTTGAACACTTTTTTTTGTTAAAAATTATTATTCTATAATCGTTTCGTTTCTTTCACTGTGACGAATTTGATCGAAACAGTGATTTTGTCACAGTGATATTTAATAATAAGTCATAACATAGACATTCCGATTCGGTACTTGTCAAACTCTCCTAAGAATAACGACATTTATTATTATAGTTATTAAATACTCATTAATCACTGTTCTTTTCCACTTTTCTCTTCTTCTTTATTCGCGCTGCAGGCGCTGTTGGAATTTCGATCGTCATTGCGGCTAAAACATCCTAGAAACGTTTTTCATTTCGTTCGTCTTTATGCAATATGCAGTAGATGCAATACATAGAACTCTGGAATCAGGGCCCGAATTTCGATCTTCTCTAAAGAAAGTTCTGGAATACGAACCTCCTTCGCTTCCACTAATAATTTAAAATACAATTTTATACGTTAAGTCAATCCAAACTGTCACCGCAGGTCGTTGACATTTTAAGTCAATTGAAAGTCAACCACCTGATCATAACCTGAGTAAAAATGTTCTGTGATCATAACATTATTAATAAATACAATCAAAGATTCATAGAAATATTTTATTCATAATGTCTTTATCTAGTATATGAATCATCATATAAACTGGCTTACTTTAATACATACATTTAAAGATTTATTATCTCTACTTCTAATTAATATTTTCCAGGACATTACACACAGTGATTCACTATGGTCATTTATATTTTCTATCCATTATAATATTCTAAAACAAAGAAATACAGTTATGTTCTAAATGTAGCGCTTATTGTTAGCATGCATATGAATTAATTAGAACTAAAAGTTAAATGGTCAGCTTATGAAATTCAAATCTTACCCTAAGGCACTGACTTAAATGATCATGAAAAACATGGTAAAACTTTTGAATTTCAAATAATAAATAACTTTCCTAATTCGGGGCAAAGTATAAAATTACAAAAATAGTCTGCATATTATATCCGTTTTAAACATAAACATTACTAACTTTTTATTCTCAACATTATTATTAAAAATAGGACACAAAACTATAAACTAATAAAACGAAATAACTGCCATTAATTTTGTATTTTGTTATGTCATATTGTTATTATAAAATAAACAGTAATTTTAAAATGATTAATTTAATAAATTAAGATAACAATGATATAGATAAGCTTCAATTTCTATACCGCTCAGTACAATGCAGTATATTTTAGGATCAAGCAACCATAAAAATATTTTAACTAAATCTATGGATTATATAAACAAATAGAAGGTTCCATCAATTTAAAACTATTTCTGATTTGTAGCTAATGTGAATAGATGAAAATTAAACACCCATTATATGAGTATTAAATGGAATTAATTATTAATCTTGTGTGAAAATGTTGTGTTAGTATGGAGATGGCAACAGCATAAGCATAAAAAATATTCTTTCATTTAAAGAATATTTTAAACACTTGATTGACTCATGTGTTCCATAGTTTCGTATATTCTTTGTAGAAGCAATCAAATTTAATTCTTAACAAACTTCTCTTGTTCCTTATAAAATTGAGATGTCATGTTAGAATTGAAAATTGTACTTTCTAAAATTTATCTTGTGTTGAAGTTATAGGATTTAATTCAAATATTCTGTAAATACTTTTTTTTTAACTTTCCAAAAATGAACTACAAAATTAATGTATGGTCTAAAAACGACAGGAAAATAATGCAATTTGAGTGAGTCATTGAGCAGTGAGAAGTTTGAAAATTAATCAAAAATCAATATCGACCTATATCACTATTTATTACTAATAACTGGCATAAGGTATAAATTATATTGCAAAACCTACATGCGAAGTTTACTGATACGCCAACGATATAATTGCTGGACTTAAAGGAACGCGGCAGAAACTAATTTGGACCTTAAGTGATGCATTGTATTTACGACTTGGATACAACTATTGATTACATTGTAAAGTTCATCTAAATTTTAATTTTATAGTAAATCACTTATAAAGCTTATAATTCAACGGCAGTGGCGTCGAGGCTGACGAAACTTTCTGCTCTCGTTGCATTGCGGTAAACTTTAACGACATATCGGCACCTCAAAACGACCGTCGGAGAGTCTTACTATTCATACGTGTTATTTTTCTTCAAGAGTTACCTGGTGAAAAAATAATGAAAAAGTCAATATAAAAAAATATGGACAATATCATGTTATATGTATATAGCATTAAGCACGGGCTAAACGCCAAGTAGGCTGTGCTTTACACTTTACTTTTCACGATACTAGTGCAACTTTTGCCTATTCCACATCCATAGTCGGTAATCATTCAGCATTCCCTCTGAAGATTTAAAAAGATCTGCAAGAGGCAGCAATGGTGGGGTGGAAACATATGTTTTGAATTCTGTATTCTATTCTATTTATTCTTCTATTAATCAATACTTTAGTATTTTACTTATTACTGTTGTTTTACTTTCGAAAGAAAAATTTAACTAACTAGGATTCGTGATAGCTCAGCATTCAGGCGCTAGCATTTAATTCAATATTTTCAAACCACTCGAGTTCAAATCCCGGTGACGGCACCAATGAAATTGTTAATTGCAATTTTACGTGCTGACTCATTACATGCAGTGAAGGAAAACATCGTGAGGAAAACAGATACGCCAAGTCCATGCTATGATTCTCTAATACACTCGCCAGAGAGAAAGGCTTTTTCCAGCAGTGGAACACAACATAATATAGGCTGGTATGTTACTTTTACCTGCAAGGGTCCATTGCGCAAATCGTGTTTTTCAGTCAGGGATCCCATCAGTTTTTCCTGCAACATTACAAAACTTTAAATAGATATGATAATGAAATAATTGTTCTGAAAATAAACGTCGTAAAGGCAGACTGTTTTGTATACAGAGTGTCTTTACAATCGCGACAATAAATGAACACACATATAGAGGATAACTTTTTAAAATTGTATTAAATATTTACATTCTTTAAACATCAATATTTACCGAGTTATTACATTTTCCAAAACAAACAATTTTAGAACATCCTTATGTATAAAACTGTAACGTAAATGTAAAAAAGTTCATTCGTAAAGGTCACAAAGCATATGAATGGGTTGAATGAATTTAAAAGAGACAAAACATACTGTTAGAAGGAGAGGCTAGTAATGCGACAATGTGGCAACGAATGAAAAAGTCTCTGAATGTATGAATCAGTCAGTTGTAGTTGTATAGGATGTTACAAATTTTTTTTCTTTTTTACTTAATTAGTTGTTTGAAAATTTTTTTTTAATTATGGAATTTTTTTAACGTTAATATTTTTTATGATGATGGGCAAGTAGCGTTAGTCGTAGATTCATTTATTGTCGCTATGGTAACGACACGCTGTATATTTGCTTTGTGAGTTTTACGAAAACATTTGATTCTGGGAACTGCAATGCCTAAAACCATAACACGTTATGGGATATGGGCACGCTTGAACATAATTAATATATGATCGACATTCAATAAGTGTCTACGAAATAGACATGTCCATACAGGATCTCTACGACTAAAGCAGTCATGTGTAACACCATTCATTTAAGTACAGGCATTTTCCTAGGTTGCATTATATCTCTTCTCCTTAAACGCTAACATTGAACTTAAAATGTGCCTTATCCTTGAAAGCGAAACAGACATCTATATAATCCCCTCCAATATTTGCTACATACTTGATACTACCTTGATTGCTACTGATGCTTGCCATATGGAGGTGGCAATTTGTAGATTTTCTTCTAAACAAAATATACTGCAGATTATGACGAAATAATGGTCAAAGTAATACACAACATACACGCATATACACTTATAGATACCCACAAGCATCACAAATGTGCGTGTTAAGATTTTAATCATAACTTTGTATATTACTAGCATATACCAATGATATTTGTTACAATTTAAAGCAGTATAATGTAGCGGGCATCCACTCCACTAAGACGGTAATGTAGAAGAAAAGAGAAGAATTAAAGCACTGTATATTAAAAACCGTTACCTCTGTTAATCTTTCTGCGTCAGCAAAACTGTTACTGTGGTTTGTCGTTTGTGCTTTCTGTAATTCAACTTCTAAGGTGTCGATCCTCTTTTGCATCTGTGCAATAAAGATAAGAATGGTTAGGCAATAAACACTTAAGCAATACAAATACCAACCATCACCCATAGAGGGACAAACAATGAAATACCTGGAATAACAGACTACCACCAATCTGAGATATTCTTCAAACAGACTTGCACATATATTGTGATAACATTTCTTTGACTAATGTATTATATTGGCTAATGTATTTTATTTTCACGCTTAAAAGCATGGAGAATAGAGGAATAAGAACTTTGTAAGCACAATAATTATAAAAACATAACACATTTAGGAATGGCTGGCATCATATACCTCTTCCATGATGGTAGGCAATGATTTTTCTATGCAGGAGTATGCAAACGCCATTGGTTCCTAAGTAGAAAAGTTATCTTTAAGAGGACAGTTGAACAATTTATTTTCTTGTTATCTGTTGTGATGCCTAAATTTAGTTCATTGCTGAATTATAACTTCTGTTAATCCATACTGCATAGCTTTAACAATATAGAGAGAAATACAATGTTATATATTCACCTGTGATACCGTCCTTTGTTGCAGTTCGTCAAGTTCGCGTTGCTTCTCAGCCAACTGCTTTGCCCACCTCTGCTCTTCCACTGCAACATTTTGTTGCAGACGACTCAATGCACCCTCCTGTAAACAAGTATAGTATATTAATATAGTACCATTAACATAATTTAGGTATATAATCAGAATCCTTTATCCTTATGTGTGAATTTAAATATTGTTATATTTTTCAAGTAAGTTGGATAATTGGAGCTATTTCTCTAATTCTGCCGCAATCCACACACGTTTGGTTAACTGGCATCGGGGTGTCTGTAAGTGAACACACCATTAAGGATGCCAACTTTCAAAAACTTACAATGGAACTTATATAGAGGTAAATTTAAACCAAAACTTCCAAAGTGTTTCTCATTTGAGAAGTTTTGGTTAGAATTTAATGATACTTAGGGGGTTTTTGAATTGGTTTAGGGGTATTTTTTTAACAGTTGGCAACACTGCTCACCGTGTCGTCGATGACCCTCTTGTACTTGTCGAGCAGGCTCTGCAGCTGCTCGTTCTGCGCTGCCAGTTCGCTGAGACGCGGGTCGGCGACGGAGGGCGCGGCCTGCACCAGCCTCGCCTCCTCCAGTTCGCGTTGCTTCCTCTCCAGCGCGTGCTTCTGGGCCTCCATCTTGGCGAACTCGCTCCTCAGGTTGTCGGCGAAGGCCTCCAGCCAGGCGCGGCCGGCGCCCGAGCTGGGCGCCACTGCGGGACACGCCGAGCGGAGCACGCCGGCCACTTCCACGTACTGCGACTCCCGCGCCCTCGCTATCGCCTCCTGGATCGACGGAAACGGACTGGGTCAGACAGTTCACTTTGTCACGGGACGGTGGCGTCTTATTTTGTGTTGGGAGAGTTTAGGTAGTAAGCCCCAACAACCACTGCAACTTAGAAAGATCTATCGTAGTCTTCACTTCGAAAACATTGCCCCCTTAGTGTGGGTTAACATTATTCTGTGCTACAAGAAAGTTTAACATACATACATTTTACGTGGGCGAACAACCACATCCAAAACAACTATCATGCTAACTATATGGATCATACAATTAATAGGTGTCTCGTGCGGGAATCGAACCCACGACCCGCGGTGCCGACGCCGACGCCAATACCTTGGCAACTGCGCCACGGTCATTAGATAGAGAGAGAGAGAAAGTGGCAAACGGTCCATCTTATGCTCATGGAAGTGGCATGATTATTTATCAGGTAGATGACATACACGCAACTACAGTAGTAACTGCTCTAGTGCCTAGCCAACCTTTAAGAGGGTGAGCTTCGGTTAACTCACTCGACAGATGAAAATAAAGAGCATAAATCCTATTACTTTCTCTGATTTTCCGTGAGGCGGCGGTACGCTTATCGCGTCATTATTGTTCGTGCAGTAGTAATTCTGCGTGGCTCTATTACAATAAAATACAGGGAAGTACATATAAAAGCGCGATACTTAAATGCGCCTGAGTGCAAAAAGTTTACAGTGCCAATATTTCGACCAAACTATCAAATGTACAGACATTTGATAGTTTGGTCGAGTTACAACAATCTAAATGTATTGGGATTTATAGTGCAACAAGAACAAAGGGAAGAACTCTCCCCTAAACGGCATGTAGCCACTCCGATTACTATGAACTATGAAAGATCCGCGTAGACTTGGACGAGTCAGAGGTGCAAAATTTGCAATATCACACTTGCATAAAATGCGTACGTATCACGCAAAAATATATATTTTTTTTTAAATCTACTGATTGGGGAGTATAATATATGGCTTGAGGTAAATATGACTTGGTCTAGTCTATGTTAAAAAATAAGTTGAACATTTAGACGTATAACAAATATACATATGTAATATGTATGCATGAATCTATGTGTTTATATAAGAAAGTTAAACCTAAACGAAATTGTATTTCAATTTAAAGATCAAGTGAAAAATAAAATCATTTGACATAAAGGTTTTAATGTATACCATATAATAAAGATGTGCACCTTTAGAAGCAAATATGTTTATGACATAGCGAAGCCGGCCAAAGTACACATACAGTTCTCTAAAAGCAAGCTAATATCTGCAAAGGTTTTATACATTTATATTCGATCATAGGGATTATATTGAATGTTTATCTAGCCTAAAATATATTTTGCCATATTTATATTTTTGGACATGACAACACTTACAGGCAGGGAATCTTGGGCCGGCAACGCGCTGGTGGATTTCGCCTGTAGGGCCTTTTCGGCCGATTGTAACGCCTCCATAACTTTCCAGTTTTTAGTTCGCAACTCCTGAGCGGAAGGAGCCGGAATCGAGAAGCAGAAATCCATTAAAATCCACTCGAAAACAAAACTGACAGACGTTAGATCATATTGGTGCAATTAAATGCGTGTGTTGAGCAAGAATCCAAGTTAAAAAGGTTAATGAGTGAGATGATCCTTAAAACGATTTTATAGAAATAAAAACTTACAGTAAGAAATTAAAATATCTAATCGTTTAGGAAATAATGATCAATGAATAATTAAAAAAATGGTACTGTTTATGCCCATACATATCCTTACAAACAGTAGGATAAGCAAAAGCCAATGAGCAATAATCGAGTGCTCACATTGTTCTTCTCCTGGTAGTGGTGCAGCTGGTCTCTGAGTGTGGCAATCTGTTCTTTCTGCTCCGAGCTGCCGATAAGAGCTGCCGCCAATTCACCCCTCAACGCTTCCACTACGCTTTCCACCTTCGCGAGTTCGCTGGCCCGCTGGAAATCAAATGTACCAAATTCATAACATAAGCCTGGTAAAGTTTTATTTTTATTACAACAATGCTAATCTCTGTTGAATTCTCTGTACCAACATTTACCAGTTCTTCTACCATAATTGGTTAAATCAGTGAAATGATATACTGTTTTGGATGTGCATATAAGACTTGATACAAGTCCATTAAGTTTCACTTAGACTTTCAAAAAGAATGTTAAAAATATATCTTAAATAGTAAATGTAAAAAAATCACAAAAATTACTTAATGTTTTTCATTTGTAACCTAGTAACAGTATGGCAAGAAATATCAGGCACGTATTTCAAACCGCTGAGGGTTCTTGCAAACAAACTTCAATATGTAAAATATAAAAAATTAATTAGTAATGAGTCTGTTGTAAATGTAGCATACATATTTAGTATCTTACTTTCTGATCGTCGTTGGCGGATGGAGGCAGTCCGTTTTGCGCGGGAACGGCCGCCATTTGTTTTAATTCCGCCAACTCCGTTTCTCGCGATATCAACTGCTCTTTTAATGCAGCCAGGGCGTTTGATGACTATAAGAAAGAGGGAATGAATTCACTGAAGCACAAACCAGCACTGCATGTAGATCAGTGTTATATTATAGAATAAAGGTGTCACAAAAAAAAAGTTATTTTAACACAGTCAAACATAAAATGAATCACATGAAAATATTAATATTATTATATTAATCAAGTTATTCTTCCTAGCGTGGAATTTGCGTTCTCAACCCATATTCATAACTTAATAAGTATTGGATGGAATGTTAAAGGTAAATAAATGTTACAAGATACTAACTTGTGATTTTTGTTGCTCTGATTCTTCTCTGATCTTCTCCACTTCCTGTTTCAACTTCTCCGTATCTGTTCTCAATTTATTGGCGTCTCCTTTTGCTTTCTCAGCTTCTTCTCTTAATTTGTCCACATTGCTCTCGGCCGTCTGGGCGCGAGTGGTCAAACGCTGAACTTCATTCTGAAGTTCGGTAATACCTGTAAATAAAATATTAATCAAAGCATTTACAAATTTTTATTTTGTGTAACTGTAAATTACGTAAATGTTTGAAATATAGAAACTTTTCCAATGTAATGCATAAGTTCACTTGCTTTTTGTTCATTATAAAATTATTAAGCCAGTGCCAACCCTGCAGCCACACAGCCCATTTAGTGAACTTGCCCTAGATTATTTTTTGAAAATGATAAATATGTTTATTTCAGGATCTTTTGTCCAATAAACAAGTCCTGCTAAGTCCTACAGCTGCAAGTCCATGGGCAGCAGTTATCACTTAACATCAGGTGAACTGCCAGCTCGCTTGCCACCTTCTAAAAATTATCCTAAAAGTTGTAGGACAAATAACTTTAAACACAATTAAAGTACATGATTACTTTAGAAAATTTAATAAAAAATTTATTAAATTTATATGTTGAATAAAAAGTTCTAATCTTCTATCTACTCTGTCTATAAATACTCACCAGCGAGCCTTTCTTGCAGCTCTCGTAATTCTTGCTGAGCTAGCTTCTCAGCATGCACTGCTCTCTGCCTCTGTTGCTCAAGCTCGGCATATACACGATTGGCCTCCTATAAAGTGCAGATCGTAAAATAAAACACCATGTTTAACTAACATTTAGACTAGAAAAACAAAAAAAACACACTCCCATTGAAAACCTTTAAAAAAAGTGGGCCCCGGTTGCCTCACTTACCAATCGAAACGCGAAAGTTTAATACTTTCACTTCAAGCCGGTCTTCCGTGGGGCCGTGGTACTTCCCCGGTCGCGCTTGCCCATTGGTGCAACAGCAGAAGCTGTTGCGTGGCCCTACCACATCCAAATCCAGTGTGTGTGTGTGTGTGTGTGTGTGTGTGTGTGTGTGTCTGAGCCTTACCTGCAGTTGTTGCGCGAGCTCCTCCGCGTGTCGCTGCGCCATCATCATGGAGTCGCGTGCTGCGGCCGCGTCGCACCGCGCCTGCGCCGTCTCCCGCGCGAGCGTGTTCATCTCGGCCTGCAGTGCCGTCAGCTGCTGCAGGAGCGCCGCCTCCGACTGCGGAACGATGTAAAAAAAAGTTTGAGCATTATAAAAAAACACACACAGACAAGTGCTTAATGCCTAATAAGCCCACTACCGCAAGGAGTAGGCAGCGAATATTGATTAATCTACATGTGTAATCTACATAATCTACATAGTATAAAACAAAGTCGTCCCTATGTATGCTTAGATCTTTAGGGTCTATATACTATATTAGGTATATATACTAGGGTCGCTGGTTCTTTTATATAAATGATATGAAATAACCAAAATCTGAGGTGCTTTTTCACTAATTGTTCTTATCTTGGTGATCTAAATTCACAGACACTCATATTCATCATTTATGTAATGGCTATGGTACAATGTGAATATCAAGGGTTTTGAATATATTCTATGACTTGAAGAGTATTTCTTTCATGAGATCTCTTCGAACATTCCGCAAATTATATTTGCTACTAGACTGCACACCGCACTTACAAAATGATGCCATGAGCACTCTCCATTCCTCTATAGAATAGACTAAGAGTAATCACTTATATAATTTATAACATTATGTACCACACTTACTTCTGACAGTCTCTGAATATGCATTTCCATTTGAACTCGCTGGGCTTGAGCTTCTCCCTCTGCACCGAGTTTTGATTGGAGCTGATAAATAATTTGAATTTTATTAAAAATTTTGTATGAGAAAACTATTTATTACACTACTCCTTACATAAAAATAGTATGTGTGTATTTATTTACGCACGTAAGAACTTTTTCTTTATTCCCTGTGCCAGTATTCTGTGAGTGTGAGTGTGTTTCGCTTTGCATCAACTTCGCCACGTCGAGTTTGGATATCAGTGCGCGCGCATAGTAAAAATTTCGCTCTCATAATTTTTCCAAACACGCCAAAATAAGTATAACGTCAAAAAATACTTCAGCGATGGGCGCTCTCTAAGAGCTAGCAACGTTTTCGTGAGAGAATTTCAGGTAGGCCAGTTTTTAGATACGCTATCTCTCTCACTCTCCCGGACGTCATACGAGTTATCTGGTTCGCGGTAGAGGTTTCGTTCATCATTGTGCATCGTAACAGGTAAAATATCAATTTGTCAAATAATTTTAAGGTTTCTTTTAATTTAATTGAACTTTTTGCAACATAAATCTATTATTGCCAGATAATTTTTATTGTTGTTTAGACTATGCCAAGCTAGTATGGCTGAAATTTTAATATGATGTTATTTAAGTATCTAAAAACCCAAAATTAATATGCCAAACAATAATTCAATTGTTAAACCTTCAGCCAGACCGATCCAAAAGCAAAAAGTGATTGGGCATGTTGTACAGTGAGTACAATGTACGATGTGCACTGATGAACGCAACCTCTGCCGCCAGCCAGATAGCCCGAATGACGTGCGGGAGGGTGTGAGAGATAGCATATCTCAAAACTCGTTTTGAGTTGTGTGAAATTCTTGCTATCTCGACGTTGCTATCTCTCGTAGGGCCTCTTCAATGGCCTCAGCGAGGGGCTCACGTGCAGCGTGTCCTGAGCGAGGGCGTCATAATCATAATCAAGAGCTTTAGCTAGGGGCGCTCACGTGCAGCTTGTCTTGAAAGAGGGAATCATAATCAAGGGCTTCAGCGAGGGGCGCTCACGTGCAGCTTGTCTTGAGAAAGGGAATCATAATGAAGGGCCTCAGCGAGGGGCGCTCACGTGCAGCTTGTCCTGGGCGAGGGCGTGGTTGTCGTCGAGGACCCGCTGCAGGCGCGCCTGCAGCGTGTGCAGCTCGGCGCGCGCCGCCCCCGCCGCCTGCTCGGCCGCCCGGCTCGCCGCCGCAGCCCTGCCGCGCTCCGCGTTCAGCGTCGCCCTGCGAACGTTACACGATATTAAATGAGAACTAGTTTACGGATTTCATCGCGTTTTTTATTTTGATTTGAACTGCCGACGTTTCGAACCCTTTCCTGCGTTCATGGTCACGGGACAGGCTAAGTTGTTATACGTCTTGATGTCATAGTTAACCCCGGCCACCGTCAATTAATTTGTTTATTTTTATTCCGATAGTTAACCTCGATGACCCGTATGAATGCCATAATTAACGCACGCTTGAGTACATGCGCGGCCCTACCCACTGATGAGGGCCTCAAACCCGTGGGTTCTGGCTAGCACACCGGTTCTGCGCTCTATGAAGCTTTATTAGTCCAAGGACTGAAAGCGTAACGTCAGTTATACAAATACGATAGTAAAAATTTGTAGAGTGACTCCGTGGCGCACTCGCCAAGGTTTTGGATTCGGCGTAGAGGGTCGTGGGTTCGATTCCCACACTGTACAATTATTTGTGTGACTCCACAGATAGTTGTTTCGCATCTGGGTGTTTGTCCATGTGAAATTTATTTTTATAAAACGTCTTTACAAAGTTTAAAGTTTTTAAAAAAAATTCGTCTTTTTAAATTTTTTTTAAAAAATTTGTAAAAATGGACGAATCAAACTCAGGAAGACGTTTCCTGAATCGCTTAAACCGTTAAGCTAAAATAATTTAATGTTTGACTAGTACTAAAAATAAAAGTTTAACTGCATTAAAACTTTTAAATTAAAGTTTGCTGTCATGGTGGTCGAAACAAACAAACGCGTCTAGACACTTTAACCACTTAGCTAAGCGGCCGATTGCCACACCGACGAAAATCTCAACGTATTTTATCTAGACTATTTTTTACACATTTTAAGCCATGCTTGGCGCATCTATTGTTATGTCCTATTGTTATTTGAGATTTCAAAATTTTATAGTGCTAGTATCAGCCTTTAAGATGAAACTTTAAAGAGTACAGAGATTAGCACTATAAAAACTTAAGTTTGACAAAAATTTTAAAAAAAGTTGGCCGTCTAGGCATAAGGTATTATTTTTCTACTGTAACCGTGATTTCCAATGCTCAATTCTTTAATGAATCTCATTAAAATTTTTGTGCATCATCAAAAACATCCAAATAACACTTACCGTAGCTCCTTCAATTTGGCATGCAATGCTTGGGACGCTTCAACCTCATCGGCAAGCGCCTTTTCCTTCTCCGCTAGCTGCTTCTTCATTTTCTGCATCGGATCATTGGGACCCTACGAAAAGGATGTTCAAAAATTTAGTATTCAGTTTAATAATAACTTATTATAACCATGTCTTTTGTTATTGTAAGTGTTATGAACTTTTGCTAAACATCGAAAATAGTGACGTGATTTTATAAAGGAAAAATAATGTGTTAATTAAGTTCTGCTGTTGCCAAATGGGCCATGAGGTAGTAGTGTACTTTTTGTATTTATCATATTTTTTTAAAGGAGTTTAAAAGTTTTCAGCGCACCGACAACCCCGTAAGTGATATAAACTATGAACATGGGACGATACTCACTAATAGTGGACCGTGTGTTAAATTTTCACCTTCCATATAAGAAAAAAATAACACACTGTGTGGGACTATAAGTGTCAGCGAAAAATTAGCCTTCGCCTCGGCTCTATAAGATTAAAATAGGCGTTGGTTCTTCCCACATCCAGTCTATGGAACTAGTAGTCAAAAGGTTCCATAATTTGATTCTCCTGAGATTCAAATACTATCCTACCTGATGGTAAGTAATTACAGTCTTTGGAGAACACAACTCACTATAAACCTATTCACTCTTTTGGCAAAGTAATACATTGTAGTGCAATATAGGTTGCATTGTAATCGGACGGCGAGGCGGGCCCATAATGTATCTATAAGCAATTAAGTGTAATTGACACGGATTGATAAGCAATAAAACATATATGCGCAGTTGTTAAGCTATTGACTTCGGCGACGGGGATCAAGGGTTCGATTCTCACACAGGACAAATATTTGTATGAACCACAGATAATTATTTCGGATCTGGGTGCTTGTTCCCGTGTATGGTTGACGTCACGCAGAACTGACTGTCCACGGGAAAGTCATAAAAAACAATATGATTAACAACATGTTTTACATATTGTGCATATTGTACGCTAATAATTTGTATAAAACAAATTAGGAGAAATACAGAATTCAGATTATTAAACCATAACATAATAATTGTAATATTTGACATACAGTACAGTTATTTACTTGTTAACTTTTAACTAGCTATTCTTTATGGACAAAATAAATTTCACAAAGGCAGACTTAATGCCAGTCAACACTGGTCCAGAGAAGTTAATGTATAAAGGTAAAATTATAAAATTAAAAAATAGTCTTATTGGATGTATTCGCTTAAACTACATTATATTAGCTGACATATACTATGCATAGTTTAGGCATTAACAACATTTATGTTAGCACCTCGGTCCACTCAGAGTGTTCGGGCAACGGGTCGTGGTGTTTGTTGAGTAGGGCTTCGGTCAGTATCTGTATCTCAGTCCGGGACAAGGCCGCCTCCCTGACGACCCGCACCAGCTCGCTGACGGCCACCCCGCCACTGTCGCCGGCTGAAACCAAACATTGACATGATCAACATTGTTGAGATTTCTGAGATTTTCCTCAGGATAGCGCCAATGCCGTCGATTCCACTCATCCCTCTATAGACTACGCTCTTCCTCTCGTAACTCTACCGGCATTTCCACTCACACAACAGATTGGCGCAGCGTATGGTGAACATTTCTTTTGTAAAGATGTTTTGATTGTAGCAAGTTTATAGGACATTGGGCTTTCTGCTTTTTATGATTTTCGGCCCGGACACGCATTTGTATGATGAACTAAGGCTAATTTTACCAGATCTGGGCAGATAGTAATCTATTCGATAGTAAGCATGTTGTAAATAAAAATTCAAAAAGTAAATTAGCCTTGTTTGGGACCTTGGTAGCGCCATTACATGTGTTAATTTCTACCATTTGCCATTTGCACAGACTGAATTAATAAATAATAACGTAAATTTGTTACACATACATATATAAAAATATACATACTAGGAACAGACGTTGTCTTGTACACACACGACTTAAATCCAATAACTTAATTTTTTTTAAAATTGTGAATCTAAACTATTCTCGAATCGACCTGAAGACACACAAAAACTTTCATTAAAATCGGTCGAGCCGTATAAGAGGAGTTCAGTGACACACAAGTACTGAAGAATTATATAAATATAAAGATTCATATATGTATCTGTAACTTGACGTAAGGCAGCCGGTAGTAAAAAACAGCCAAAACAGCTTACAACATTGTTCACATGTGCCGACCTCATCTAGGTGGGATAAAGGGATACTATTTGTATTAGCATGAGGGGGCTCAGTGCGGCGGGTTATTTGATTAGATTAAATGGTTACCCATTAGCGAGAGCACGTTCGGCTCGGGCTTCTTCTTCCTGCCCTTGCCGCCGGGGGGCGAGGGCGCCGGCGCGGCCGCCGCCGGGGCGAGGGCCTGCTTCAGCAGCTTGTCGGTGGTGAGCTCGCTGGGCTGCGGCGAGTTCAGCGGCTGCACGGGTTCCTCGGCCGCGGCAGCCTCGTCGCCGCCGCCCCTCTTCTCCGCTTTCTTCACTGCGACCGTTAGTTGACTTGTTAGTTTCGGACTGGTTTGAGTTTATGTCTCATGCGAGAAGGGGGCGAGCGAGCTGACGGCCCACCCGGTGTTAAGCGGTAACCGCCGCTCATCGAAATTTGCAACGCCCGTAGGGTTGCGGATGCGTTGACACCTTTTAACAAAGCGGGCGCCGGCTATCTCACTCACTAGACGAAACCGCTTCACGCCACTGTATTGAAAAGATGGCAGCACACCTAAAAACCTTGCAGTTTTGTGGATATCCATAAATTCAAATATAGAATATCTTTATTCCAATGGACGCTTGCGCGTTCTTATGAAACGTCGAATTTTACGAATTTTTGAAATTTAAACTAAAAATTGATAAATTTGTAAGTTACCACAGGTTCGGAAAGCACTGAAAAACTCAACAGCTGCTATTTTGTAAAAATAATCGTATTATTAGTATCTTATGTTAGCCTACGTGAGTATTAATTCCGCACATTGGCGTCGCCGAGATATTCCACAATGCTTATAATATGCTTTAGACTGACCAATAAAAATACTAAGACATCTGTGTAGCCAAAAAAGGATATATTATGACGATACAGGAAAGTTTTGGCTCATTCCGCTTCGTGCTCTCGTAAGGAACGGACGTCTCTCTAAGACGGAGGGCACATACCACCCGAATTAGACGCCACTCGCAACCTCGGTTGCAATTTCAATCTTGTGCAACTAGTGCAGTAGTTTAGTGTTAGTGTAGTGTTGTGCTCGTAGGCAGGTTCCTGTTTGTAAGTAGAATCCTACACACACTTCTCGCCTCAGAGGCGGCATTGTTTCATTTATTAACTGTGTGCTTGTTGCAATAGGCGACAGCTAGGTACCCATCCTAGCGCACCTAAAGCGCAGGCAAACTTGTTGTTATTTCTAGGCACACTCCTCCGTGCCGCAAGGTGGGGAGGCTTATTTATCTCACACACGCCGGCGGGGCTACAAGCCCCAAAGGCACTTACGTCGCGATGGGCTCCCTTTTCGAGGAGTTCGTACGCAAAGAATGCCCCGCTATGTGGGAACGTTTTCTCGCTTATGAAGCCGAGCATAGGCAATTAGCTGAACTCGCGTCGCCGCCATTGCCCGCACCGTCTGCGCCCGTTACCCCGTCGCCCTCCGCGACCTTAGAAGCTCCCGTCGCGTCGGCATCCGCTAACGCGAACTCGCCCGTAGCGCCTTCCGCGCAACCAAACCCGACCTCTTTTCGCTCCGTCGTACCCGACTCACAATCGGACGTGGAGGTCGAAATGACCCCCGCTGAAAACGCGAACGCCGACGGCTTCACCGTCGTTAAATCGCGTAAAAAGGGCAAAAAACGCCCCGCTGCCGACAGCGACCCCGAATGCGAGGCCGCCTCAACGATCCGTCCCACCGCGACGCCCGCTAAAAAGGCGGCCGCGGCGGCTAAACCGATGCCCTAACTCGCCTCCGAGCGAAAAATAAAGCCTCCTCCACCCATCATCATTCAGGAGAAGGCTAAAAATTTGTTCGTGGTTTGAACGCCACAATATCCGCGACCCCCGGTCGAAAAACACGCGTATGGGTATCCGCGTATGCCTTGACACTACGGACGACTTCCGTCGCGTAACTAAGTACTTGCGCGAAAACAAGATAGGTTTCCACACCTACTCTTTGCCCGAAGAATGAAAACTTCGGGTAGTAATCAAGGGCGTCCCCAAAGAGTGGGATGTCGACAAGGCGAAGACCGACATCCGCACTCAGGGATACCCTGTGCAAAACGTACGCCGCCTCAGGCACCCTAGAACCCGTGTCCCTATGGACATGGTGATGGTTGAACTTGACCCTACCCCGGAAGGTAAGGCCATCTTCAACCTGAAGAGGGTCTGTGGGCTCAGCGACCTCGTGATCGAGCCCCCGCGAAGATCGGGAGTTGTGGCGCAGTGCCACAACTGCCAACACTATGGCCACACGGCTATTAATTGTTTCGCTCACCCTAGGTGCGTCAAATGCACCGGTGACCACGGCACGCCCGATTGTACGCGGCCAAAAGATTGCGCCGATCCACCGGACTGCGTTAACTGTCATACCACCGGCCACCCGGCTAGCTACAGGGGCTGCGCTAAGGCCCCAAAAACTCCCGCGAGAAAAGCTCCCGCGAAATCTACTTTGCCCAAACCCGCGCCCGTACCCGTCGTAAACGCCTGGGCGAAACCCCAGGTGGCCGCGCAGGTAGTTGCGCCCCCGGTCGCCTCACGACCAATCGCTCCCGCCTATCAAACGGCGCCGACGCCGCAGGTGCAGTCGGTTTTCGCCGAAAACAAGAACGACCCGTTCGCCCAAATTGCCAATATCTGCGCCTTATTAGACCGCATTAATAGACAAGAACTCGCCGTATTGTCCGCTAAAATAGCGGCCGCCACCTCTGGCAACGCGCGATTTAAAGCCATTAGCGAACATAAAATGCTTGTAGAAGCCCTCTGGGCATTTACAAGCCAACCATAAATTTAATAGTCCGCGCAACAAAACCGCGCTCCGCCGCGTCGTTAGTTAGAACTCATAAAAAACTTTAATGGGAAGTACAACCGCAGGTAGAACAAAACCTCGGGCTCTGGTTGTTTCGTATTTCAACGCAAACGGCATAAAGGGTCAAAGGGACGAAATCGCGGAATTCCTTTGCGATTATAACATAGATATTTTTCTAGTGCAAGAGACATTCTTAAAACCTAGTGTACGCGATCCCAGAATCGCAAACTACAACATAGTCCGCCACGACCGGTTAGCAAACCGTCTGGGAGGCACCTTAATTTATTACAAACGGTCCTTGCACTGTAGCCCGCTCGACATTCCAGAGCTAAGCCATATAGAGGCATCCGCGTGTAGGTTAGCGCTCACCGGCCATAGGCCGCTTGTACTAGTCTCAGCCTTCCTCTCGGGGAACAAAACCTTATTACAAAGCGACCTAGATACGCTACTTAACTTAGGCCCTTCCGTGATAATTGCAGGAGATCTAAACTGCAAACACGGCTCATGGGCATCCACTCATCCACATCCACAGCATCCCAAATAACAACGGAAAGCATCTCTTTAGCTTATCCGATAATTTAAACTTTAGCATAATTGCTCCTGCGACTCCCACTAGGTATCCTACGGTGGACAACTACCAACACGCGACACCGAATATCCTAGATATCATGTTACTCAAGGAGGTCTCGCTCGACATCGAGTCGATAGAGACAATCCATAAACTAGACTCAGATCACTGGCCCGTCCTGTGTAAACTGGGCCAGAACGCCGGCGCGGTCCCTCCGACCAAATCCGTAGTGGACTGGCATCGTCTTGAGGTCAAACTCAAGGCCTTGGACCCCCAGGAATTAGTCGACCTACCCGAGACGATAGCTACGTTCGATGACGCAAATCGAGCGATAGCAAGTCTCCGAGAAACCATCACTTCCGCAGTCGCAGACTCGGAACGGACGGTTAAACTGTCGGGCGATCGACGGTTTAACTTTCCGCCCGACCTGCGACGCCTAATTAGGCAGAAAAATGCAGCCAAACGCGCTTTCGACCGATACCGATCGGAATCGAACCGAACCCTACTTCGACGCCTTCAGCTAGAAGTCAAAGATCGTGTATCGGAACACCGACATACAACGTGGGACACTCTCCTAGATGACATCGAGCCATCGCACACCGCCTACTGGCGGTTGGTCCGCAGTCTGATAGCAGACCCCCGCGAATCTCTACCGCCCTTAGTTAGACCTAATAGCGCTTCAGTAGCCCTAGATGACTCCGAAAAATCCGAATGCCTTGCGGACAACCTAGAGCAGCAATGTACGCCATCGCGCGAACACATCGATACAGCCCACCTAACGGAGGTGGACCGCGTAATCGAGATTAGGGCTGCGCTTCCACCGGAAGGTGATCCTTTGAATTCAGTGACCCCCGAAAAGGTTCAAGATATTATTAAAAACTTAAAACCTAAATCCGCCCCGGGCCCAGATAATATTAGTAACAAAATTCTTAACGCTCTCCCTGGGCCGCTTATCTGTTTACTGGCAACCATTTACAATACTTTACTCTCCAGTTGCTCCTTTCCAGACAACTGGAAAGAAGCCAGGGTTATCGGCATTCGCAAGCCTAATAAACCAGCCAACCAGCCCTCTAGTTATCGTCCCATCAGCCTCCTCAGTTGCCTGGGGAAGCTCTACGAGCGGGTCAATGAGCACGTGTTTTCCAACGGCCTTCTGCCGGCGGAACAATTCGGCTTTCGAGCTAGACATTCCTGTCCCGATCAACTATTCCGCCTAACGGAACATATCCTAAAAGGCGTAGATCACCCTAAACATATTAGTACAGGGGCTCTTTTCTTCGATGTCGTAAAAGCATTCGACAAGGTCTGGCACAACGGCTTGCTTTACAAGCTGTCCACACTCAAAGTGCCAGATAGGCTCGTACACACCATTCAGGCCTTCCTGTCGAACCGCTCTTTTCGATATCGAGTTGATAGCACCCTCTCCACAAGCCGCCGCCTCACGGCCGGCGTACCACAAGGCTCCTGCCTCTCACCTTTGCTCTTTACGCTCTACACGAGCGATATACCTAAAGACCCCCACGTCAATCTCGCGCCTCGGCGATTGGTTCCGCAAATGGAGAATAGAAATAAATCCCGAAAAGAGTGTGGCGATTCATTTCACACTAAGTACTTACCCGTCACATCTTTATAATGGCCCTCGTCAATGCAGAAAGTTGGGGCAAATATCCCTTTATGGCCAACCGCTCCCCTGGGAGAAAAAGGTTAAATACTTAGGAGTCACTTTCGACTCGCGTATGTCATTTACTACGCACATTAATAACGTTCGCAATAGAGCCGCGTTCGTCTCCGGCCGGCTACACAATTTAACTAAGGCTAAAAGTAAAATGCCCTTAAGGCACAAATTATTATTATATAAGACCTGCGTACGAACTATTATGTCTTACGCATGCATGACCTTCGCCCACACGCACCCTACTCGCTTGTACAAGTTGCAAATAGTACAAAATAAGTTCATCCGCCGCGCAACCGGTGCGCAGTGGTATCAACGCAACGTCGACCTGCACAGCGATTGCAGACTCCCGACGATTCGCGAATGTTTTAAAGACCTGACCAAACGGTTCTTCGATAGAGCCGAACATCATCCCAACCCTCTGGTGGTAAAATTACCAACCCGACCAAAACGCGAACGTCAACAAGCGTCGGCGGCGAAACGTCCTAATCAACCCGGTCGAGGAAGGGGACTTAGACACGCCGGACCCACTGCCGGGGGTCCCGCCGGACAACACTACACCCACAGTTAGTGCAACAACAAACATACTAGTTCGCCCTCGCCTCCGAGCACGGCGAGACCAACACAACGCGTACACAAGGTACACCCGCGTTCCGGGGCGGTTCTCACCGCCCCCAGCCACCGATTAGCTAATTGCACAATCGACGGCCATCGGGGTTTCGGTCCGAACCACGACCTCGATGGCCCTTAGATGACGTACCATAGTTAAACGCACGCATGAGCGCATGCGTGGCCCTACCCACAGCGGAGGGCCCAAACCCGTGGGTTCTGGCTAGCCCACCGGTTCTGCGTCAGATGAAGCTTTAATAGTCTCGGGACTGAAAGCAAAAACATCAGTTAATACAAGAAGTTTTGGCTACATACATTAACTTAAACAACGTCGTATTTCATAGCGATTATGGTAAATAATATGTCATTAATAAAATATTTCCAAAGTTACGAGACCGAATGCCTTATAATTGTTTTATTGTTATAAAAAGTAGGCTCTCTTAAATTGTTTCTCTTTCTCAAAATGTATAAAATACTTTCTACTGGAGCATAATATTATATCCGGGACTTTTAGATCTAATAAATGCTTGACCCGGTAAAGCTCACGACGCGAGACGTCCCAACCAAACCACCCCAAATACCCTAAATAATAATAATAGTCTAAATGCTATACAGGTACATACGTCTGTATAGCATTTAGGCTTTCTTCACAAATTCCATTCAAATACGTTCTGCCGACGCACCGTCAAGAGAAAACAAACACACATTATTTATCATGTTTTTTTATCTCAGCATCATGTTATTATCTTTATTATTTGAAGCCCTGTTAGGTTTTTCGCGATTCATTACACCAAAGCAATTAATTTATGTCATATTTATCTCTACTGTCATTTTATCGCATACCTTTGAAATTTTCACAAAACAACACCACCGTGACTTATTTGAATACATACTACAATTATTTATTTTATTAATGTTTAATATCAGTAGCGTCGCCAAATTTTCGCTGCAAAATACAATAATGATAAAGTAGATAAAACGTCAAGTTTTCACGCAGCGTAGATATCGACCACTTAGCTTAGAGAGGGGTTACTGTAAAAGTAAGATCTTCTTAATATTAATGTTTTAATATTAATGTGACAGTTGGGCCTGTTTCCTGCATATAGTAAATTTAGTCAATTTTAGGACTAATTTTGGACGATTTAAACCTTAATTATGACTCAACGGCATCAACTCGATTTCTGTATGATGTTTCGTTGGTGATGAGTTTAAAAAAGGATAAAAACCCCATAACAAATTCTTTAAAAAAAATACTAAAAGGAAATTCACCGCTTTGCGTGAGATTTCGGGATATCCACCAATACGTAAATCTTGTCACGATCCCCTTGCAGTGGAATAGCGAACCCTTAGGGTACCGCACTTTGGGGAACCCTAGCTTAGAGCGTCAAGAGGTACAGAAGGCGCATATTCCATTCCTGGCAGCGGCGAAGAATTATATATATCTTATGATTCAATAATTAGCTAATGCTGAGACAATTCACCGGCACGTTTCCTTTATCCGCTAAAGAAAAAAAAAATAAGCGGTCGAGAAAATACTTCGCGTACCTTTTCTTTGTTCCTTGGGTGCATCGCCGGCGCTTGGACGCTCTTGGAGAACCTCCTCTTTCACCGGCTCCGGCGTAGCTGTCGGCTTGATGGCGGCTTTCGCGTTCTTAGCGGGCTTGGCTGCCTTGTCTCTCTTCTCAGTCGCGTCTTCTCTCTTCTCCAATGCCTACGATAGATTTACGCCAATAATATTGATACGACAGACACCAAGAACTTCTCTAAACATGGGAGGAACACAACGAACAATTGCAAAACACAAGAGCGTTCCGATTACAAAACTGGACAACCTCAAAACCAGATGTGTTAGAGAGAATTAAGGGTATTGTTTTTTAAATACGACGACTATTTTACGGATTATGATTGTCATTTACTTTCCTTGTTTAACATTGTAATGCAAAAAGTTAAGTGAAAGAGTAAAGCTTATATGTCCCCGAACGGACATAGTCCCGCAGTGGGATATAGGCTCCTTACGACCCCACAGCAATCGTCACCCTCACAACTTGACACATCGTCTTCGAAATATTTTTACTATCAACATTTCGAAAATGTGTAGGTTTCCTCACGATGTGATCCTTCACCGCAGAAAACGTGATAAGACAGCACTTAAAATATAGATTAACAATTTCATTGTTGCCGGCACGGCGATTTGAACCGGGATTTGGTCGCTCGAGTATACTGAAATAAAAACGAGCGCCCGAACACTGAGCTATCACGGTTAATGCTCTCAATTTTACAAATGAACTCAGTAAAACCCGTGAATTAGTTTTACTTAACATTGCGAAGCGATCGTGTAAGCAGTATAAACGATTAATGTACATATTGAATATGAAAAATCGTAAGTGCGGGCACACTGATGATGATAAAACGTGCGATGATGCAATATCAACGATAAATGTCGCCCAATCCGTTGAATTAGCGCGTGCAGAGGTCGTGAACATGCATAAGGCGGCTACAATGAAGCTTAATATGAGATATGAAAATTAAGCGTGACTATCGCTCGACTGCGGACTACGCTATTAGTTGCGTTCTACGTGTTTAGAAAACACACAAGAAACAAAGGGCAGAGGTCGGACATGAGTTTGGGAGGTGCGTGACACACTCACTTTTTCGACGAATGTCGAGTGCAACAACTCGAACTCGTCCTTCGGTAGTAACTGCTCAAAGTGGTTGGAGGCAGCACCGCCAGGGGGCGTTGGCAGCGTGCTGGTATCGCTAACGCAACTCGGATCCTCTTTGTTAACAAGTATCGGCTTTACTTTAGGATCCTTGCCGCGTTTGCGGATCTGCATACAGAGTAAAACTACCGTACAGTAGAGGACCATCAGATTTAGTCTACGAATGAGTACTACATTGGTGTTGATTTGAAAGAAAACTCACCTTTACCAATTAATGTTATAAAAATGTTTGATCTACAATGAACCACAGATCTTTGTGGTATGACAAAAAGAAAAATAATGCAATAATAGTATCATATTATGCATAACAAATACTCCGCTACTGGTATGAGATACTGCTTAAGTAAAATTACAATACGAAAGGAACATTTATCTATCTGTAATTTTTTTCAATTCAAGAAACAGGTGCAAGGCTTTTTTTTATATATTATTTTACAAACTGAACGTCATGAACAAGCATTTTAGACTATACTAAACAGTGTACAAAGATAGGAGAAGCATATTGGAAAAGACAACTGATAATATGAAGGTTCTTCCTATTTGTATATTTAAGAGATATTAGAAAAGCAAAAATATTTAATTGTTAATTCATATTGTATGTTTGATAAATCATTTGCAATGCTTGCATTAATGCAATTTTAATTTATTTTAAATTAAATAAATTGGTATAATTTCCTTAGTTATAGTTATTACTGTTACTATATTAGTATAAAATATGTTAGAATTTATTATTATTATTATATTAAACATATAATAACAAACTAACTAATAATTTAACTGTAAAATTTTGGGATGATTAACATTATACTAAAAACTTAACCATTGTAATAACTAAATTATGTTTTAAAATAGTTGATGGTGATATCCCCTTTATAACTGACTTACATTACCTCTGACTGCCATATTACAATTGATATACATAATTATTAACTGAAAATAAATTAATAATTTGTCCATTTTTAAGTATTTTATACTTATACAAATAAAAATTTATAAATGGTGGATTTTGTGAGACATAAATTTGTTTAAAGTACTGTGAATCTCAAGGTGATATTACAAAGTCAACAAAACTTTTCGAAACTTCTTACACAGAAAACACTTGTTCCATTGAAAATAAGATATAAACATCTCATTTCTTTAGTTGAATAAGAGCAAAACTAAAATGATAAATGATGGCTGAAAATGTTGGCATTTAATGCATGCTTTACCAATGATATTTTGCTTGAAAGTATTTAAACTTTTTTTTTCTGTTCAAAAAATTTTGACAATATATAAAGGTGTCAAAAAATTTTGACAATATATAAAGGTGCATGTAAAATTTTTTACAACAAGCACTGTATAATGTTGCTTATACATGCAGTTAATCATGCAAATAACATTAATAATATTAAATATATATATGTTTATACAATAAATTTGATCCACACAACCATGTTAAGTATGAAGCAAACATTTCACAGTATCAATATATGACTTTCAATATAAAAGGGCTTACAAACCTTGATATTTGGGGGAGTATCAGTAGGAACATCAACAACAACAGGAGGGGAAAATTCAACATGTGGCTTCAGTGCTGGAGTAGAATCTTCATCAACCCCACTTTCAGCTGGTGCCTCACTCTCTGGCTCACTTCCTGTTGCCGACGTAGCATTTTCTTTCTTCTCTTTTTTTGCAAGCTGTAGACAAACATACATTGTAAATAATTCTCTGTATATTAATATAGAGGATAAGTTTTTAAAATTGTACTAAGCATTTACATTCTTTAAACATCAATATTTATCAAATTATAAAATTTTATAAAACAAACATTTTTAGAACACCCTTATGTATAAAACTGTAACGTAAAGTTCATTTGTAAAGGTTACAAAGCATATGAATGGGTTGAATGAATTTAAAAGAGGCAAAACACTGTTAGAAGGAGAGGCTTGTAATGCGACACTGTGGCGCGAGTTGTATAGGATGTTACAAATTTTGTTTCTTTTTTATTTAATTAGTTTGTTTAAAAATATGTTTTTAAAATTATGGATTTTTTAATGTAATTTTTATATTTTTTTATGATTATTGGCAAGTAGCGTTAGACGTGTGTTCATTCATTGTTGCAGTTGTACGCTGTATAACTCATTAGTTATATACATTAATTTAAAAGTTGGCATTCAAATATGATTTAATCCATGTGTAAAAATTTTTACTTAAGTTACAATATACAGCATGGTGTTACATCCGGGACCTTAAAGGAACACACTTCTAATGTTATTTGCCAATAATCACAAAAAATATAAATATTAAAAAAATCCATAATTAAAAAAAATATTTTCAAACAAACTAATTAATTGTTGTCATCTAAAATTATTTATTTTGTAAAATTTAATAACTGTAAATTTTAATAATTCATGAATGTTTGAAATGTTTAATACAATTTTAAAAAGTTATCCTCTGTATGTGTGTTAAGGTTATAGTAGTAGTGCCACATTGCATACAAAATCTTAGGATATACAAATATATTTTATGTATTCATTTTTCATTCATGAGCCTATGAGCTATGGCCATTGCTTAGCAACTACAGCAACTATTAAAGCACTATTAAAGGCTATTTATATTTAAGATGTCTGTAATTTTAATTGTAATCAGAATGTTGCAAACATCAAACAATATTAACCTTTAGCACTGACATATACATTTTATCAACATATTATAGAACAAAAACAATGTTGGCTTATAAATTATCCAATACAATGTGTAGGCATCTCTAAGGAGACTAAGTTTCAACTTTTAATTTACACAAACATTTTGTTGGTTTGTGTCCCACGAAAAATTTGGTACTGATAGAGTGATAGATAAAATTGATAATAGATAGATGTAAAATATTACATTAAATTTTGAATTTAAAATAATATTTATTTTTATAACTAGTTATACATATATTAGCAGAGATAAAGGCTTTTTTTCCTTTTTTAATTCCTTTGAATACACTGTGTAAAATAAGACATAAGGCCCGCTTTAAATTACTATTCGCAAGCAACTCCAATTCCATTAGCATTTACTGACTTATTCAATGTTATGCAGTGAATAAAAAGGTCATGAAGATACCTGCATGTCAATACAATAACAAAAAATTTCATAAAGATATGGGAACCCCTAATCAGGAGTGGGGTCCCATACTGCTCTTCCCTAATAAATTCTATACAGAGGCTTTTGCCCAGCATTGGCTCAAATACAGAATGTGAAAAATATACTTTCATTTTAATACCACAAAAGTTACCTTTTTATTAGCTTTTTTGCTTGTTTTCTTTGCCTTGCCTTTGTTGTCAGCTAAGGCTAAGAGTTCTGTGGTTGCTTTTCTTTGCTGGGCAATTGCTTCTTCATAGGTAGTCCCAGATGCAGAGAATAGACCCATAAGCAAAATCACGGCTACTCCTGCCACACCCAGACCACAGAGTACTAGCAATGCTTGCAGCTCCATTGGATCTGCTGCTTGCTGAACCTAAATATATTAATTTTATTTTAATCATATATTAAAGATAAAGGTGTGCAAACATGCAAAGCCAATAATAAGTATCTGAATTAAGCACATAACTATGTCAAAAATAAATGACATTCCGATAATATATATATTTATCAGTTTTATGGACTTTAGCTTAATATCGAAAATATTTTTCTTTCAGAAACCGGCGATTTAATCATAGATCACTTATCACAGGAGACAAAAGAAAATGTATTAAAAAGTTGCTAAGAAATTTAAATATTAATTATATAACAAAGGCAAAGGTGCGAAATACAGATGAACTCACTAAAAAAAGGAATAGAATAGTTGTAATAATATTTCAGAAATCTAACACATCAGCAAATTCCTTTAACAATACTAATATGAAGACTGACACGTAAGCAATGACACATGTCAAAGGATATTGACAGCATTTTTCGCTACATTTGTTAGAGGGTCGCATTAACTTAAATTGAGTAATTACGTGTTATATTACACTTATCACGGTAAATATCAAAGGAAGAAACTATTGAAAACAGCTGTAACTAATAAATTGGCACCATTAACGAGATGCTAAGAAAACAATTCTTACCTAAATTAAATCCTACTTTTATAACCACTTCTATGCACTAATACTTAGTTAATGATCAACTGATTACCGAAAGATAGAATTTTTAAACTAAATTCAAAAACACAAATGTTGTAAATTAAACTACGAACAACGAAAAGCCGACGACAGTCGACCACAGACCACAGATTAGCGTTAATTATGAAGTGATGTCAAAATTGCATTGCAATCTTTGCATATTATCGATAATTCATCCACTGTAATTTTATATTATAGACAACGCAAACGTTGTTTTGTCCAATGATATTAGAAGCCAATGATATAAAGCCGTTTCGGAGGAGAATGACAACTAACATTGTGACACGAGAATTTTATCTATATGGATATGCTGTTAACGAGTATGAAGTAAAGCCCCAAAAACTTTTCAATTCGAAAATCTCGTCTTTAGTTCACGTAAAGTTAGGCGGCATTTAGGGCTGCGAGTAAGGTGCCAGCACTCCAAACTGTATGATTATGTAGTCATACATATTGAAGTGAAGGAGTCGTGGAATCCGCTCAGGCTATCAAAGGCTCTTTCGACCAAACATATTTGAAGGCGTTGAGCCAATATTGGACTACATTTTCCCTGGGGACGGTGCGCTCCTTAAGATAATACCCAGGTCATGGAGTTCAACTCCCCGACACCCGTACCTGCACTAGCCCGATTAGTCGGGTAGCGTGGATGACTCATGTGCGCGAATTTTTACAACAATAAAAATGCTGTTTTTAAAAGACTTAACAAGTATATCAAAAGATAACAATGAATAGGGGATTTCATATCACGTACATAATGCAATATATCTTCGATTAATTAGTATATTTCAATTATTTTCTTAATTTTCCTATTTATGTAGGTTAGAAAACGAAGAAAGATGCAGCAAATAAGCTTAACCGTATTAAGCTTATTAACTTAGGACGAGAAAGACGGATGCACCTCGATTTTTTACACAGCTAAAGTGACAAAAAAGGCAGACATAGTAGTATAGTCGTGCCGGAGTCACGGAAGATCGTATCTACGTGTCTCCGGCAAACGTGACAGTGCCGGTTTTACGGTGGTAGGGCCACGCAGCAGCTTCGGCTGTTACACGAATGGGCAGGCTCGTCCGGGTAAGTACCACGACCTCACAGAAGACCGGCATAAAGTGGAAGTATAATGCTTTCGCGTTTCATCTGGTAAGTGAGGTGGCCGGAGCCCAATTTTCAAAGGTTGTCAACGCATCTGCAACCCTCGGGTGTAGCAGATGTGCATGGGCGGCCGTATTCACTTAACATCAGGTGAACCGTCTGCTCGTTTGGCAACTTTTCACATTAAAAAAAAGTGCTACGTGGGTTTTTGGTGGGTACCCCCGTGTTCCACGGGAACTCCCACGTACCCTTGCTACCAATCTACAAGGTGGTGGGAGATCCATAAATGATTTTTCTCACGTCAAAAAAGAAGGGAGGAGTGACTATTTGCATTTACTACTTACTAACGGTTTATCCGAATACCAATCGTACTGTGCTTAAGGGTAGCTAAAATCCTTCGTGAATGACTAAATGGCCAGACGTGGCCCAACGAACTAGGGAAAAAACCAAGGCCAATGATGGAGTTTTTTGATAATACGCGGTTCTCGGAAGAGAAGCGCAGTGAGTAAGAGGGAAGTGCGTTCCAATCGGCAGCTGCGAACTGAATGTGTATAATTTTGTTTCGTTTAGACTATGCGTTTAAGTAGGTCCTTTCTCACAGTCGGTGAAGTTGTGTGCAGTTCCGGCATTCAGTGTCAAATTCATTTTTGCGTCGTGGTATAATTGCTGCAGAATGCAGCGAAAATCGAAGTTCAAGAAGATTAAAATAGAAAAATCACGTTATCCTTTGTAAATCTGCTTTTCTCAAGGCTATTGTTATCTTGTTTCCCAAAGAGTACTTTTATATACCTGAAAGAGTACTTATATAAAAGAGTACTTTTATATATCTGTTGTTTCCAAATTCCTGATTCCTTAGGTTCTTTTCGAAGTCCGTGAGTCATCTACTCGCGGACCACTTCCAACGAGGCTTTTAAAGCCAAGGGTGTTTAAGCCATTGTACTACATTTTGCAAATAAACAAAAAAAAAAGTTTGCTACAATTACTATAAACAACACTTACAAACAAAACATTTTTTTAACCCTATGATGGCTACTTGCAACTGATGACAGCTGCTATGTCAAATGTCATTAAACTGTACAAAATTGTCAATTAAAATTATTATGAACAGCTGTCCGATTTTTAAAAATTATTCTTTTAAACTATGTGGCACTTTAAAGTTTAAAAAGCTTTAGACGTTATCAAATTTAGTTTACTCAAATGAATGTGGATGTGCAAATAATATTCTATATTATTAATAAGTTGTGCACTAGTTAAGTAGTAATAATGTCGCTTCCACCTCTTGTTTGCAACACACCACCGCCACCTGATCAGTGTGAGGATGATAAAGACCCCGAAGATTTTGATTTAAATTACAATTGTAAGTGTCAACTTCTTTTACTGTTTAACTAACATAGTTATTGATGTGATTGATTCACTTACTAATAATTGACTAAATGATAAGAATATAAATTTATATATTAAATAATATATCTTTGTACTTAATACGTTAATAGTGAATGGTCCTTATACTTATTGTAGAATGTACATGTGGTATATGTTGTGTATTAATATTGTTCTGTTATATATTATAGTATCTCAAGATGATGAAGACAGTAATGGGTATGATTTTCAAACCTATCCGAATTATGATGTTTATGAACCTTCAAAATCAGAAACTTTACATGAAAGCCACTGGCCTCCTACTCTTACAAATCCTTTTGAAAATATCTTAACAGACAATTTAAATGAAGTAATTAAAGAGACTGAACATGTTACACCAATTTTAAATGTTTTAAGTGAAAAATTGACTTTGGATGATGTGACAGTTGAAGATTTAAATTTAGAGATAAGTCAGGACCACTTAAATACCCAGATGCACTTAGAAAATGAAATAGAGAAAAAAGACCCTGATATTACTTCTTGTGAATTTACAGAAAATACTGTTCATAAAGCCATCAAGGAAACTGATATTGTTGCAACAGATTTTAATATTATACATGATGAAAGTATCTGTAGTTTAGACACTTCAGATAATCCTTCACAAGTTAATAATGAGAATTTTAATTCAAAATCTCAAGAATTTAATGGAAGTATATTTCATGAGATTAATTCTAAAGATTCTAAAAAATCTGAAAACTGTGACTCACCTGCCAAAGCCACTTTTGAGAAAGTTTCGGAAAGTTCTTTTGATGAAGAAATAGAAAATTTAGGAAATAAAGATCAAACTATAGATGAAATTGGTGATTTTGATGAATTCCAATTTGTAAGCAATAATGATAATACAGAATATTATGTAGAAACCATTGAAAATCCGTGGGTTGATGAACCACAAACAAGTGCTGTTCAAGTTGGTGAATTCAAAGCCAATTTTGATGAAAATTATGAAGAAAGTTCCAACATAGACAATCAGATGATAAAAAATGATAGCATAGATGATGATTTTGGAGATTTTGACGATTTCAAATCATGTGCTAAACAGTCTAGCCAAGAGGAAAAAGGTGAAAATTTGAATCAACAAGTTACTGTTTTGGATTTTCTATTACCATTTAGTGAGAATCAAATTTTAGATAGGATTAACAATATGCTATCATCCATTTATAATGAAGAAATATCAGAACCAGAGTCAGAGTTTGTGGGAAAACTAGAATCAGTTCTTAATGAGACTTGGGGCCATTTAGTTGATATAGATGCGAGACAGCCTTATATGGTAAATTGGAATAACTCTGTAGGACAAAAGAGCCTTTTGAAGGCTCTTTGTATAGACTCAAGAAATATAGTAAGTAATCCATAAAATTGTCTAATTGCATTTGTGGGATTTGTGGTGTTTATAGTGTATATTTTTATTTTTAGCTTTTTGGTCCTAAATGGAATTACAGCATGCCCAAATATGCTGTTAACCTAAGTGCTGCTCCTCTTCAGCCACAAAAACCAATAACATCACCTGTGCCACAAGCAGACATTCAGTATTCTCAAAAATCTGCAGTTAAGGAGACTGATACATGGTCGGATCCCTTTTCATCAAATGGAGAAGAATGTAAGTTTATGTTAATTTTAGTTGAATCCCTAATCATAATTATACAAAATATAATAATTTTAGGAATTGAAAAATTTTATTGGAATCTATAAAGCATAATTTTATAGTATTAGAGTGCAAAAAAATAATATAGAAAACCAATATAAATCTTATTATTCAATTTTGAGCCGTGATAGCTCAGTGTCCGGGCGCTCGCCTTTAATTCAATATACTCGAGCAACCTGAGTTCGATCCCCGGTGCCGGCACCAATGAAGTTTTTAACTTTAAGTGCTGACTTATCACGTGCTCCGCGGTGAAGGAAAACATCGTGAGGAAACCTGCATATTTTCGAAATAATAACAAAAAAAAATATATTTCGAAAATATGTGAAGTCCGCCAATCCGCAGTGGGGCCGCGTGGTGGACTATGCCCTGATACCCTCTGTATAGAGGAGGCCTTTGCCCAGCAGTGGGACATGTATTGGCTGCTACTTTACTTTTACTTTTTTTTTTCAATTTTGAACAGACTATTCACTTTTTATTAAATTAATACTTTTATTAAAGTAAATATAATTTGCCAAATCCATATAAGATAAAAGAAGCGTAAACAAATATAAAAATTTTTGCTTTATAAATTTAAATGATTATTATTTGGGTCAGTATTACTTTGGGATCCCCTGGATTGACATATAATTGCTACTGATTAATGCAGCTTTTTGTACTATTTATTCACCACTGTAAATTTTTTTGCATGTCTTGCACATGGATAAACATCATTCACTTAAAACATTTTCTGCTTAACTCAACATCACACACTAAAGTCACATATGCTGAGGCCTTACTGTTAGACCTTGAACACTTAATGGCTACTTTAGATCAAATGGCTCACAAACATTCCACACTCAAAATTTCAGAATTGTTGTCACATGGTAAGTGTCTTTTTTTTTTGGAAGATACTAGCTAAGAATATGTATTTGACCATTTTTAGGGTTCCATAACCAAAGGTTAAAACCCTATTGCTAAGACTCATCTGCCTGTCTGTCTGTCTGGCTGCCACCAGGCTGAATCTAATGGACCGTGATATTAAGACAGTTGAAATGTTCACAGATGATGTAATTCTGTTGCCGCTATAACAACAAATACAAAAAAAATATAAGTGCAGCTCCCATACAACAGACATGATTATTTTGCTGTTTTTTTATAATTATGGAACTCTTCATGCGCGTTCATATACAGGGAAATTTTTAAGAATGGCCCAAATTTATACAAGAGGTTCAGACTCGGTAGTATAATCGTTTATTCGAATAAAAAACAAAGTTTTTTTTTCCAAAAAAAATGCCATTCTATTCGCTAAAAAACAGAATGTGTTGATAATGCGGTAGTCATTCATAAATACCTAAATTTTACTGTGCGCGAACTTGTGTGCGTGTTAGTTATGAATGATCTCTTTTAAAATAAATGAGTTGCGTATAAATCACGCACTTTTTGAGAAGTTCAAATGAATGTAATTAATTACTTACGAGTGATTTTATAACTTTATATTACTTTATATACTATATAACTTTATTTATAACATTATTTATGTCTAGAATTTAATAAAAAAAACCCTTCTAACAGTATGTTTTGTCTCTTTTAAATTCATTCAACCCATTCATATGCTTTTTGACCTTTACAAATAACTTTACGTTACAGTTTTATACGTTGGGGTGTTCTAAAATTCTTTGTTTTGGAAAATTTAATAAATCAGTATATATTGATGTTTAAACAATTTAAATGTTTAATACAATTTTAAAAAGGTATCCTCTATATGTGTGTTCATTTATTGTCGCGATTGTAAAGAGACGCTGTATATTGAGGCTTTAGTTAATAAATATTATTAAGTAGTTAGGCATAGCATTATCTACATTTTTGGTAAAAGTAATATTGTGCTTGGTTTGATGAAGAATGCTTAGCACTGTATAAACTATTATGATATGAAAATTAAAAGAAATTAAGCACTGGCACATTTTAGAGTTAAATAGGGCTATGTTAAGTCTAGAGACTACTGGTCTAGAACGTATTACAATAATTTTGGAGTTTATACAACTTTTACTTCATTCCGTGATTTAACATCAGTTTTTATTATAATTTAGCTTGAAATTTTGGATTTGGCTCATAGAAAATCATTATTACCCTCAGCAAGATACTGTACAAGTTAAATTACTTTGATAAAGAATAGGAAAATAGAAAAAATATATGTATTATCACAATTATTATGAATCTTTAGAACATTATAGAGAAGTTGAATAATGAAAATACTTGATTGTCTTCTGTTATTTTTAATTTTAATTAAAATACTCGTTGATAAAACTGCCGCAAAGTATTTCGTAGCAGCCAAGATTCCAACCTACGTATTTCAAATGACCCGTCCAGATGCTCTGGCCCCTAAGCTAAGCGATCGACATCCTTACGAATCGAAATCGAATTCTCTTATATTTTTGTTGCATTAGTGCCAATTACAAATAATAAATAATACAAATATTATCTACTGTGATTCCATTTCAGCAATCACAGTTTTATGCATTAACTTTCTTATTGTATTAAAAACTAAAAATTTCATCTCTGAACATATCTTCAGATATTTGATGTTGAGGATTAGTATTATGCTTATTTACCCAAGTTTAAACATTCTTATTTTATAGGGACATATGAAAAGAAATTAAAAATATTAATAATTTACATTACTAATTTCAATTTAATCATAATGGGGAATAAATGAAACATATAAGGCATGGCAATGTTAGATTACATCATATTGTGGTTATGGTGCAGTTTAAAACACTATGCCATATAAAAAGATTTAAAGTAAACCATTTTTATGATGACCTTTACTTTTCTACTACCTAGCTGGAAGAGTTATTGTGGCATAAAAATGTGAAATATTTACTAACGAAATTGTTGAACTGTTTCAGCGTGCAGCAATGAAAACGAAACCACTACGTCTGAGAGAAGAACTAACGACCTGGAAGTCTTCGAAAAAGTTATGCCACCAAAAATAGGCAAAAATTATCCATCATCTTTAAATGTACAACCTTTACGCCAAATTAACTTACCAGACACACACATTTTTACTCCTTCAGATTCCGAAACGCCTCGCTCGAAAACAATACATTATGATAGCAGCCCACCGGTTATGTTGACCCAAACTGTTGTGAACAACGAAAATGTTGATTCGATTGCAAGACCCCAGTCACCCATTACTGAGGGTGTGAATAATATGGAAAATAACAATGATTACTGGGAGTTCCAAGATTTCAAGAGTACCGCCGAATCGGTTAAGCCATCAGCAGATAAACATGCTATGGAACCAGTAACAGAATTGGAAAAAAAATCTGAAAAAGAAAATAGTGTTATGCCAAGTTGCACGATCCCCTATCAGCAAAATCTTTTACAACCCATAAAAGTTGAAACTGTTATGCCGACTTTAAATTGGCCGGAGCCTGGTGAAGTGAAGGATTCTTTTGACGACTTTTCGGATTTTGTATCAAGTGCTCCCTGGGAAACCGCGGAAAAGAATGTTAAAGCTGATTTACAAGAAAGCAAAATAAACACTACTGAATTAGACAAAAGTAATGATACTACGAATAACAGATTCAGTATCAACGTCGCGGAGAATAACGATGACGAATTTGAAACATTCCAATCAGCCCCAATAGTGCCTCAATATAACTCGAAATCTAGGAAAAATAGCAATACCGAAATAACATATCAACCATCGACAAGCAAAACCACAGATTTCGACACGTCATTTTCGGATTTTAGTAAATATAATAGAGGTGAAATAACACCAGCAAATAGTACTATTTTTAAGAATAACTTATCGAACGCGCCCAATATTCATGTCGCTAACGTATCCAGCGTAACGGACGGCTTCGTTACTAATTCGCCGATCCATTCGATGGAGATGCCTAGTATATTGCAACCGCTACCAGCAAGTTCTAGTGGCGTATCAAGAGTTCAAAACAACTCTGGCCAAATTTTACAACCGTTGTCTCTAGAAAGTTATTCACAGATCAACTGGCCGAATCCAGGAATCGATTTACAAGATCTATCTCGATTCAACCCCGTCGAAACACTTCCATCCTTGAAGAGCGAGCCAAGTGCTTACAGTCAGAACAAAGTCAGTTCACCTGCCCATACTGAGAGTACTTCTACTCGTAACGAAATTCAAGATGACGATATTTGGGGAGATTTTGTGTCAAGTAAACCTAAGCAACAAATCCCAGCCACAAAGAAACCGCCAACGTTCGGGGACGAAGACGAATGGACTGAATTCGTATCTAGTCCAAATGTGAAACCACAAAACGGTTTGAACACAATTAGTCTAAACGTACACACTAATTTGAGCATGCAAAAGTCGACCAACTTAAATAAATTAAATAAGAAAAACAATCAAATATCCCTAGACATTCCGACTTTAAACTATATTACACCAAAAACAAATCGAAAGACATATAACGACAAGCATTTCCAAAATTTATAACGTCGGCAAATATTTATACTTCAAATATACATACATTTCTAAACTCTGTAAGACATGTACTTAACTAGAATCTTTATAAGTTTTATGTAAATAGGGTGGTGGGTTTCCTTAGCTTGTAATATTTATATGATTATGTAAAATAAACTGAGGAAAATATTATAATATTGATACTTATAGACATTGGAAGGTAACTTTCTAATTGGGTTTGTGTACCCACGCATATTTAAGACAACATAGGACCATTTATAAATCAGAACCTTCACATTACTACATATAATTGCTTGAAATACAGTGATACCCCGATCTACACTAACTAAGCACAGTATATAAATACTGTACTTGCTATGTTTATTGATAACCATGATATATTTGCCTGTTTATGTTAATATTATATTTTAGATGCGCATATAATAAATTATAAAATAATAATAAGTAATATTATTATTTTTTTATATTTTGTGTGTGGCTTATACAAAATAGATGAGGATGAATTCAAGAAACGTTAATACATATTACTTTGCAGTAATATTTATAATAACACTGGCAAAGATCAATTGCGCAAAAGCATATAATAAAGGTATATAAAGCTGACATCAACAAAAATTTGCTAGGTACTCAAAATGTGTGCATATTTCTTTATGTGTATGTTTAATGATTAGTAATCTAAAGCAAGCAATACAATTCATGTTTCGTTAGTTATTTTTTAAAAGTGATTTCTGTATATATTGCTGATAATCTATGATATAATAATATTAATTTTATAATATAAAAACATAGTATATTGTATCATCACAATAATGTTGAATAAATTGTATAAAATTAAATCTACCACATTCACTACCAGGTATCCGGTACCAATACCTTGTGATGACGAAATTATTTTATATGAATAATATTTATTGACCTCTACAGTGCTTTAAATTTTTTTATTTCTTGATCATTCTTCAGCATTTTTACTGGAATAAATATATTTCCTATAATAGAAAAATTAAATAAAAGTAATTATTATCGTCCAGGCGTTTGAAATTAACAAAGGGTTTAAAAAAATCGCATATAGAATATTTCTACATTTACATGACATGAATGACTTATTCGCGCCGTTACTTTGATATTTTAATACAATCAAGCGAAATGTATCAAATCCCACTAAATCTTTTTTTTATTTTGATCTGTAAAAATTATTTTTACTAAAACTTATTAATCAAGTGTCGAATGCCCAGAGAAAATTAATTCTTACTATTAATGTATCCTTTTGGTGAATATTTTATTCTGGGATTCCCCATTTCAAAAAGTGATCACACAATGCAGTTCCCGTATCTATATTGCCCGTAATCAACAAAAAGCAACTGACAACATAGTTTTTAGAGAAAATTTGAGGCATGTTTTTATTTACGAAGTTCACATCTCATCTAATAGGTATTCGGATTGTTTGGGAAAAGCTGTATACATTTTACCATACATTTAATTTATATTATGTGAATGTAAGGGACATAGTACCTAGTTGCCTTATTAGTAGCTGTGTTTTAATGAATTAGTTTTTCGGTCTGTATGATAATAAATTATTTCGAATTCTTTATTTAGTTTTTACAATGTAAATAATATATGCATTGCAATAAACCTCATTTTTTATTTTATCATTTTTCAGAATCATTTTCACTGTCTGAATGTTCCATGTCTACAATATGAGCGCTCATTCTACCTTTTTCATCATCCTCGAGTTGCGAAATAAATTTCGGTAGGTTATTTTCCATTGTAACCCTATAAGGACATTGTTCAAATTCTGGCCAAGATACAAATCTGTAAGAAAAGAGCTTTAGTAAATGGTTTTATTATTGCAGAAAATCTAATGACGCCAACGTAAAATTGCGTTGTTAAAGTTTAATAGTTTTAAAAAAGTTAGTTTTCTCTCGCGAAAATTGTTTGTGTTATTTAATGGACATAACAATAAATGAGCGAAGCTTTGCTTACAATGCGAAAAAACAATGTAAATAAAATGTTCAGATTTTCGTTGGTGTGAAAATCAACTTTTCATTCATTCTTAAAAAAATCATGTAAGTAGTTAAAAGTTTGTAAGAAACTGTATAAATGTTCATAAAGTTCATTCTTAGCTCACATTTAATCTATTTCATACACTTTGATTATTACATACCTTTTGAAAACAGTTATTTTTTGTTCAAGATTTAAATCACCAAATTCCGTAAATATTGTCATATGAGGTAAAGGAGCATCGTCTTTAGATGGAGCTATCACTTTATTAGAATCTGGTGGATCCTGTCCAGTGATTAACCAAACTCCGCAACCAGGGATCCATTGCCTAAAACATTTGATTTTATATATATACAGCGTGTCTTTACCATCGCGACAATAAATGAATACATATATAGAGGATAACTTTTTAAAATTGTATTAAACATTTACTTTCTTTAAACATCAATATTTACAGAGTTATTAAATTTTCCAAAACAAAGAATTTTAGAACATCCTTACGTATAAAAATGTAACGTAAAGTTCATTTGTAAAGGTCACAAAGCATATGAATGGGTTGAATGAATTTAAAAGAGACAAAACATACTGTTAGAAGGAGAGGCTTGTAATACGACGCTGTGGCGCGAGTTGTATAGGATGTTACAAATTTTGTTTCTTTTTTACTTAATTAGTTTGTTTTGAAAAATATTTTTTTTAATTATGGATTTTGTTTAACGTTTATATTTTTTTATGATTATTGGCAAGTAGCGTTATTCGTGTGTTCATTTATTGTCGCGATGGTAACGACACGCTGTATATATACACTGTACACAGATAGTACATAACAACAGATGAGAGTGACTTAACCCTGTCTCTTGCACCAGAGGGTGTGAGTTTGATCGCCACTACTAGTGTCTGGGTGTTTAAATATCTATACTATGTATTTATTTACAAAAAAAGTATGTTTATCAGTAATCTAGTACCTATTGTACAAGCTTTGCTTATAGTTTATAAGCTCTTAATTTGTGTCCAAGGGTAATATTCAGTGATGTAAATTTGTAATTAGAATTTAATCATAGAACAATGTAATTTTAAAATTTATACTTACTCTAACATGGGAATAACTCTTGTAGACTTGGAAAATGTGTGTGGTTTAAAAAAGTACCACAACAATGGCAAATATTCAGATGGGCAAGGTAATTGTTTTTTCTGTGTGATGTTAACCAAATACATTAAGTGTTTGTCTAGCTGAAAATAAACCATTAAATTATAAAATACCATGTTTTTGTAGTATTTTATTATATGATTTTATTTAAAATACATACCAGTGAGCTTTTTTTAGTACTAGGTGGATGAAACCAAGGTAAAAAGTGAACTATAGGCACTTTGGTGATTATTTTATAGTCAAAAAATATTTGGAAGAGGGCTGGTATGGACTTGTGTTTGCTTTGCTGAATATCAGGATCTGTAAGAAACTAAAATAATTAATTATAAATAATTGTTTGTGATAATATATGAAATATAATAAATAGTTAACCATACCTGATAATTATGACAAGGCATTGATATAAAAAGATCAGTTCTTCCTAACTGGTGTGTATCATAGTGAAAAACAATGTTATTTATAAGATGTTTGACAAAAGACAGCCCCGGCATAGCACCAACAATTTTAATGAATTTGCCTGAAATAAATATATGTATACATGTGTACAAATTGAACCAACAACATGCTTATAAAACTTTGTATGTAGTCACTCAAGTTAAAATTAAAAAAATCAATATTTAATGTTGTCGGTCTCCATAAATCTTACAACAAAAAAGACTACAACTTACTGTTATCTTTTGATGCAAGGTCACCTAATAATTCTGAAATTCTATTGCCTCCATCTATTTTATCCATAAATGCTAGTTTCCACATACCAAAGAAATCTGCAACTTTATATGTTAGTCTATCAGGCATCTTACTTTCTACATTCTGGAAATAAATAAAATTACATAAAAGTCAATTCATAGATGCAGTTTAGGAATAGAACAAAATATATAGATTGAAGAGACGGTGAAGGAAAACTGAATAGTAACAGACACACTTGACGGCCAATTAATATTTCACTGTTTGGGAACCACAAAAATCATATTAAGACACAATAAAAACTAAAATAGTAGTTTTTTATTAAGATATCAATAAATGATATATTTTCATTTCCCAGTAGTTTCCTTGGAAATAATATCATATTTTGGGACTTAATTACTTCATAAACACTCTTTCTATTAGCCCCTTAGAATTAAAAAAAAATTGTTTATATTTTTATTTAAGTATGATTAATCCTATAAAATTATTATATATATTAAATATGACATAAAACAAGAGCCGTGATAGACCTGAGTTCGATCCCCTGTGCCAGCACCAATAAAATTATTAATTTTAAGTGCTGACTTTATCACATGCTCAATGGTGAAGGAAAACAGTGTGAGGAAACCTGCATATTTTCAAAATAACAAAAAAAAATTGCAAGATATGTAAAGCGCCAATCTGCAGTGGGGCCGCATGGTGGACTATGCCCTGATACCCTCTGTAAAAGAGGAGGCATTTGCCCAACAGTGGGATATGTATAGGATGTTACTTTACTATATAAAACAGATAATTTTTTATAAATTTTAAGGAAGATATAACTTTGTAGTTTTGTATAACAGTTTGACAAATATTGAGGTTTGTTTATTGCTTACAGCAAAATATATGCATCCTTATAAAGGATAATTGTATTTTTAAATTCAAATTGATTAATGTGAAAATTAACAACTCGTGTCAGTATTTAACATGTAAAAGTAAAAACAAATACAAACTTTTATATACTGAGAAAAATTGTTAGATGTTTCATATAAATGTAGCTGATAATGAGTATTGTTCAACAGCTCTTGAGTCAAGAATCCAAATCCCGGATTAACTTCAACTATAGGTGACTCGTCGTCCAAATGCATTTTTACTTGTTTAGCTATATCTTTTGCTGTCTTTCTATTGATAAGATATAAACTTTCTGGAGTTTTGTATTTCCTTAGAAGTGATTTAGGTATCTTGCTCATTAAATCCTTGTAGTTGGAGTCCTTTTCTAGATAATTAAGGACATCTGCTGCTAATTTAGGTTGTTTTTCAATTTTTTGTTTACTTTTACTTGAATACTGCAATCTCAAACAAGGAGTAGTTAATGTGTGAGTAGTAATAAATTTTCCGTAATTGAACATTATACTTATACTATTATCATTAAAATATAAAAATGTAAGTATTGTATATAAGTTGAAGATATTTTAAGAGTTTGATATTATTAAACTTTTTAAATAGGTATTTAAACAGTCTTGGGGATTTTTGACTGAAATATCATATTCATAATTTTATTTTGACGTTTGTTGAAATTGGTATTGTGTGCTGCTGCTGTGGAACAGAGTACTTTGGTATATAGGGAAAATGAAAATGGAAATGTTGTTATCAGCAGAGTACACAGCTAGGAACTATCTCGCTAATTTAGGGATGTTGAAAAAAATACCGATATTTTTGATTCTATATATCGATTATAAAATAATAAACGATAATAAAAAAATAAATAAAAAATCGATATTTTTTACAAATTCGAGTATGAAAATTATTGTCTGGCCATTTTAAACAAATAAAAAGTTTTGATTGGCTGTGAATTCTAAATACAAATTAGTGTTACAATCCACTGGCAACACTGCTTAATATACGAGCAATAACAATCATACCTAGTAAACATTGAACCATATCTGGTATAATATTATGTAATAAACTATGCTTAATAATAATTTAATAGGTCAATGTTATTAACTGTATTAGTATTTTAATAAGTGCGTTGATTTGTAATGTAGTTGTGATGACTCATTATATTTTTGTATATAAGCGCATAATGTTTCAGTGATAGGGTCCCAGTCAGATAATAGCTACCGATCGAGCCGAGGTCCGGCCCTCTCGGGCACCCTCGAATCGGAATGCTAAACGCGTGCTGAGTGACAGCCCAAGCCGAGGTCCCCTCTCGGGGACCCTTGAGCCTGATCACTCCATGGAGCGCCCGCCAAAGCGCCCTAAGAGCTTGGCGGCCTCCCAAACCGGTAATAATAATTGCGTGACGGCCCGAGCCGAGGCTCCCCCGGGAGCCCTCGAGCTTAGTCACCATAACGCGTAATAATAGTACGCCGAGGTTCAGGCTAAGCGCCTCGTGCGCCAGGCCACCTCAAGCCCGTCGGAACTGTAAAGGTACCTAAGGCCAACAGTGGCTCATCAAGCCCAAAAAAAAAAGTGATAGGGTAGAACACTCTTATCCTTTGTATAGGACGTTACTCTGTCCTAATAAGTAGGAAGTAGTCTAATTAATATACAGCGTGTCGTTACCATCGCGACAATAAATGAACACACGTCTAACGCTACTTGCCAATAATCATAAAAAAATATTAACTTTGAACAAAATCCATAATTAAAAAAAAAATATTTTTCAAACAAACTAATTAAGTAAAAAAGAAACAAAATTTTTAACATGCTATACAACTCGCGCCACAGCGTCGCATTACAAGCCTCTCCTTCTAACAGTATGTTTTGTCTCGTTTAAATTGAACTTTACGTTACGCTTTTATAAGTAAGGGTGTTCTAAAATTCTTTGTTTTGGAAAATTTAATAACTCTGTAAATATTGATGTTTAAAGAATTTAAATGTTTAATACAACTTTAAAAAGTTAACCCCTCTATGTGTGTTCATTTATTGTCGCGATGGTAACGACACGCTGTATAAAGTTGTTTATGCTATCCTCACTATTTTATTTTAGCCGACCAACCTACAGTCTTTAATATTAGGTTTTTTTTAAAAACGATTTTTTTTTTACAAAGCCAGTCTTTTGTATAGTTATTAGCTTTGTATTTTCATTACATTTGAATATTTTTCGTCTTAATGTTAAATAAAAAAAATATGTTAGCATTAGAAGCCATTTGGTCCATTTGCGGCAAACTGGCAAAGCAAAAAAGCTCCACGAATTTAAAAATTCTGAGACCTGCCTCGCGCTGTGAGGCTCTTTTTCTTTTGCGTCGTTAAGCTAAAACAGTCGTTAATCGTTATTAAATTGGTTTGTACAACATAAATGTCCGTAGTCAGTTTAACCGATTTTTTCGGTCAGTGACACCGTGATTCGTCGGGTCTCCACCGATATACTCTTTTACTCGGTCACCGGTCACCGATAGACTCTCTCTCTCTTCAATCAGTGGCGTTCGTTTCGTTCGTATGCACCATAGATAAGACATATACTGAAATGCAAAGATAAGACATATATACTGGTATGCACGGTCTTGTCAGTCCATACATTTGATAATTGTATGGAGCTTGCTCGCTGAACCCTGGCCAGCTAATACACTGCTTTCAGAATTAAACTGCAATGAGGGCCTTGTACCTCCGATACAACCAAATGAAGTAAAAATAGCTCTTCAGAAGATGTCCAATAAGAAAGCCATAAGACCTGATGGTATCCCAGCCGTGAGCCGAAGCTTGTAAATGCTTACGCGGTCAAGGAATCGCACTGCTAACCAGACTCTTTAACTGTGCGTTGTTCTCCTCTAAAATGCCTAAAGCATGGAGGATGAGCACGGTAGTTCCGATTTACAAGGGTAAAGGTGGCAAGTACGAGTGCAATAACTATCGCGGAATCAAGCTTCTCAGTCACACTACGAAGCTGTATGAAAGAGTGATTGACAGCCGCTTAAGATCTGAGTGTTCGTTGTCCAAAAATCACTATGGCTTCGTACCTGGCTTATCAACCACCGATCCCATGTTTGCACTGACCACAATAGCTGAGGAATATCGCTCCAAAAACCATCCACTGTATCTTGCGTTCCTGGACATGGAAAAGGCATTTGATCGGGTGCCAAGAAGTACTATTTGGTGGAGTCTTCGTAAGAAGAATGTCCCCGAAAAATATGTTAACATCATCGCCGACATGTATAAGGATGCGAGATCAGTAGTACGAACGGTAGTGGGTCAATCGAAACCTATAACGGTCACAGAAGGAGTTCACCAAGGCTCAGTACTCAGTCTGTTTCTTTTTTGCTTGGTTCTGGACTCACTCACCGAGGCAGCGCAAAATTCAGCATTGTGGACGTTCATATACGCTGACGATGTAGCTATCTGCAGTGAGAGCCGTGTTGACTTACAAGAGGCCCTTGTCGCATGGAAGCTCCAGTTACAGAGCGGGGGCCTTGTGTTGAGTGTTGCAAAGACTCAGTTTATGGCCCTGAATGAACCAGATCCCTGTGACGATAGCCCGATTACCATCGATGGGCAGTTGGTTACCATGTGCGATCATTATAAATATCTGGGTAGGATGATGCACAATTCTGGGAATTTGGAATACAACATTCAACACTGACTAGCCGCTGCATGGCTGAAATGGCGTGAAGTGACTGGCGTTACATGTGACAAAAGAATGCCGGTTAAAATCAAGGGCTTGATTTACAAGACCATCATAACCAGACCATCATGACCAGTTCTAATGTACGGCAGTGAGACGTGAGCCGTAACCCGAAAACATGTCCCTGCCATTCAAGTAGCTGAAATGAAGATGCTGAGGTGGATGTGCGGCGTTACCAGGCTAGATAAAATCCGTAACGAGTACCTACGAGGAAGCCTAGGGGTACGCGACATCGCCGATAAGATGCAGGAGAGTAGGCTGCGGTGGTACTGGCATGTAAAGAGGAGGCCACCAAACTACGTAGGAAACTTGGCACTGCAACTTTCTGTGCCTGGAAAAAGGTCCAGAGGTAGGCCCAAAAAAGATGGAAAGATGTAGTGCTAAGGGACATGGTAGAATGTCAAGTGTCCGAGGAACATGTCAACGATAGAGCGAAGTGGAGAGAAAAAGTAAGGAAAGCTGACCCCACCACCATGTGGGATATATAGCTTGGAAGAGAGAGAGATGGAGCTTGCTCATTCCGTTTAGTTCCAAAAATCAAAAACAGATGTCGTTATTTTACAAGAAAAACATTTTTTAATTATGGTGACAGTAAATTATAAACAAAAATGTCGCAAATAAAAAACCGTGCTTAAATTTTATTTATGGTTCTTATTTTGGAGGTAATCGTATTTTATTAAACACATATTATTAATTTGAAAGAAAACTATGAATTTTTAACTATTCTACTCCTTATATTTTGTAGTGTATTTTTCTGAAAATCAAATTTTCAGATTCAATTGTACCGGAGAAAATTTCAACAATACAATGGTAATACTTTAAAATAACAAGCTGTAACAAACAAGAAAGGTAAAACTATTTTATTTACATTTCAAAGTTATGGTCAACCACAGAAAAAAAAAAGAGCATAGGTGGCTAAGTGATAAAGTTAAATCTGAAATCCATACTTTGAACAGTCAAAATCAAAATCATTTATTCATCGACATAAGAAACTTACATTTCATTTATCAATAGTCATATTTTTTTTTTAAATCTACCACCGTTTCGTAATGAGGTTCCTCTAGCGGAGAAGAAACAGGCGAAAGAAACTCCCTAGGTATCCTCTTTTTTTTTCTAATTATACAACTGATTTTTTTCATTTTTTTTTCTTAACAAAAAATTCAAATATTATACAACTGATTTTTTTCCTTTTAGAAAAAGCTAGGGAGCGATCAACTCATTCCCAGGGTTTATTGTCATTAATGTATTCATTTGTTTTTTTTTTTTTTTTTTTTTTTTTTTTTTTTTTTTTTTTTTTTTTTTTTTTTTTTTTTTTTTGGCTGGATGAGCCACTGTTGGCCTTAGGGGCCTTCACAGATCCGACGGACTTGAGGTGGCCGGGCGCTCGAGGCGCCTAGCCTGAACCTCGCGTATTTACTATTACGCGTTATGGTGACTAAGCTCGAGGGCTCCCGAAGGAACCTCGGCTCGGGCCGTCACGCTATTTAATTCACCGGTTTGGGAGGCCGACTAGCTCTTAGGGCGCTT